TTGTGATTTGTCATGATTTTCTTGTGGTTGACACTTGTTCAAACCAGCTAAGAAGGATGCAGAGCCACGAATCTGTGATTCGGACATCAGTGAAATTTGGAGATAAAGTCACAAATCGGTGAACAGCAGGGAGTCTGCTTTTTCAGGGTATCTGTGCTGGGACTTGCAGGAGGGAAATTAAGGGGAACCATCCCCGCATCACTTCCCTTGTAGCCTTGTGGAGATCGACCCGCAGAACAACCAGCATGGTGTCCGCAAGGAGAAACCACTCTCTCATCAAGCAATACTAATTCACCAACTGGAAGTGAGGGAGTACATCAGTGTAAAAGAAGACGGCACCATCCCCTTTAATTACATACGTCAGCAAAGCGGATGGCTATACCAACTTGCTGGAGTTGCGCAATCCATTGTCGCCCAGTTGCACCCAGAAAACTTAACCATGAGCGTCTCTGTCTCCGCGCGGATGCTTCCAATGTTCGTGGCCCGGAGGAATGTTCACCGATCACGAACCCGAAGGCCAAGAGTTCTTCAAAGGATAGATCCAAAAGCCACATGCTTTACAAGAGGATGGATCTAAATCAGCTGGTCCTGTCATATGGGTTGCACAATGCCCCCCAACCCCAGGCAGAATCCGGACCTGCATCATCCTGTGTACGAAGGAGAGCTGGAAGGTGCTCAAGTTTCATTTAGCTTGTCCCCCCTGGAAACGGAAGATGCTGGCGTGGGCACCCCTTGCCGCTTGTTCTATTTGCTTAAGACTTTGTAAGTTCAGCTCTGTCTGCTTTTTTTACAATAAAGTTGGGGGCGGATCCTGCAACAAGCACTCTCGCATCCCTGCCTTCCGTCGCAGGCCTGCCAGGTTGAAAGGTGCCATTGGCCCAAAGGACTAGGCAACATCCTCATCGTCTTGAGGATTAACTAATCATGCCGGAAGAAAAGTCGCATGAGATTCCAAGCGCCCCTTGCTTGGCTCTAGTTTTCGAGTTCAAGTACAGCAGGAACATGCAGCATGGACATCCACTTGTCGCACCCGAAGGACCTCGCAACCAACCTGCCCTGACATACAACTATAAATTCAGGCCATGAGGGAGAAATGGGACTGACTTTGGGTTGCGCAGATTGCGAGATGCAAAAGGGTAAAAGGTGGTGGCACAAGGGGCCAACGATTTACACAACACACAACGCTCAAACTGTGGGAAAGTGGAAAATGCACACGGAATCCCAGCACGGGATGCCTCCTCCCTCCCCCAATTCCGTCTGCAGGTGGGTGCCTTTCCAGCTGCCAAATTCGTGAGCAATCCGTTGGGTCCAAATCAGATCTCCCTTGGGCCAATTGGGCTGCCCATGGTGTCCTGCAACCATCAAGCAAACACAGTCAAGAAACTGACACCCACTTGTACCACTAGGCGAAAATCGGGCCACAGAACCAAAACAATTGAGGAACTGGGATTTCCGTGAAGTCCACCAAGTGGTTGACAGGCTTTGTTGTTGGAACCAATCTATTTCGGGACCGTTTGCCGGGATGCTCTTCCCTCCGTCGAGCAAAAGGTTGAACCTTTCGTAGGTTCAATGGAAAAGCCAAGCATGTGTTTCTTCAGGGCTGTTGTTTCATCCCCGCTCTTGTTTTTCTCAGGGCTCGCATTCCCAGCATCACCTGGACCAGGGCCTTCCCGGGGCAAAAGGCCGTATCCTCGGATTTATGTTGCAAAGCCAATCCCAAACTCAACCACACACTAAGTCACTAAAGCAACCCTAAGGCCAGCAGATCAGCGCACCTAAGGCCAATCAGTCCCAAGCCAAGCCCAAACCCACCCAAAGTCAACCCTAATCCCACCAAACAGCAGCCTGGATGTCAGCCCTTTGCTGAGCCTAAACAACCCCCAAACTAACCAACACCACCCTCGGTAAGATCTAAGCCCCCGAGCAACTCCCGGCTGCCACCGAATCAGAGCTAATAAGCAACATAGGTCCAAGTAAAACCAACCAACCAACCAAGCAACCAAGCAACCAACCAACCAGCAAGTCATGCGAAAAGCCATGCCTTTCCCAAAGGTCTAACGGGGCTATGGTCACACCAAAGACCAGCCATGTTTGATGGAAATCATTCAAGTGGGGAGGTCTGTCCACAACCCGTTGTTCACTGAGTCCGAACATCGAATCTTAGCCGTGTCCCCAAGACAGGCGATGGCTTGCCCTGGCTTTGCCCTGAAACACACATCCGCAAGAGGGCATCAACCATGAATGAGGATGCTGCAAACCATTCAAATAAAATACCTAGGCCCTCGCCCTATTTCACGACATGCGGTTCGCCATTTTGCGAAGGTGTTCCCCAGCAAGTCAGCGTGGCAACAAATTCCGCCTGGGCTCTCGCGGCCCCGTTCGCACACCATGGCGCTTGGGCGCGGCTCCGCCCCGGGTTGGGCCGGAAACGCCCTGCGGCGTGGCACGAGCGTCTCTGGAGCGTCCAGGGCGGCCAAAATGAACGGTGTGGAAGACTACGGTCTAGAAAGAGGTGTTCTGTCCACTTCAAGTCTGCCGTGATTGTTGGCAAAAGCAAAAGGGCTCCTTGTCAAATCTTTGTGGAGTGAGAGTTTCAACCAAGTTTACAGGTGGAACAAGCACTGCGCTGCACACAGCTTGGCATATCTCACATGAAGGTCGTATAGTGTCATGTCACGGTACTTGCACTTACATATCGTTCTTTGCGCTACACATCTGCCACGCAGATGTAAGGTTCACCTGCCTCACAAGAGGGTGAGGGGAAGCCCTTTCACAAGAACCAATCAGGTGTGCAAGTTCTTACTGACTACAAGCATTGGTGCGACTTTTTTGCCTCAAGCTGGTTTCGGCACCGATTTCGGTGCACTCGAACCCACCATGAAACCTGACTGAAGGTCCGAACCTTGGCCCAAGGCCTGTGGGTTGAAACCACCCAAACCACTTCCAGGGACCCAAAGGGAACCACACCAGGCTAAAACAACCACAGGGTGATGTCTAAAACGATTCCAAACCAGAACATGTGGGGGTGTCCATTCTAGTAGACCCACCAAATGGAGCTCGGTTGCTCTCCGGCTTTCCTTTCAAACCACCGAAGGGTTAGCCTCAAACAAGACGCGCCTGTTTGGACCATCTGAAAGCCTCCTGTCACGTTCCACAGCTCTGCGCTCGGCCAACCCAACCCCACTGCGCTCGATCTGCACACGGCCTAGCGCGACCAATGCGCTGCGGCAATTGAGACAAAGCAGGAGTGTCTTGCTTGAAATGAGGGACCCCACAAAAATGGTTGGTTTACTTTTAGGTGCCCCATTTAATTTGTTGGGGAAGGCATGGCCATGGTGGCTTATTCTTGGGACACCCCTCTAAAGGGCGGTAGCTGAAAATCAAGAACACGGCCAGTTTGGTAGGTGGATCAAAGCCGCTTGGCCTCCGCAAACTACACGGAAACCGACCGTGATTCGAGCTCTGCAACCATGATTTTGACAAGTGAAGCAACCTCGGAATGACGGGTGACATTTCTGACTGCAAGATCGACTTTTGGAGACCCGAATTGCTGATGCTCAGTGGCCTCAGGAAACCTGCAAAAACTATTGGGGCAACAAGTCCCTGTGACAGCTGCGGCAACAAAGTGCGCACGAAGAGACATTTTCTGGCCGATGGGCATGTGCAACCACAAGGTGAGACCGAAGAGATTCGAATCAAATGAAGTTGTACGTCTCCTTAGCTGTTGAATCAGTTTGACTCATGACTCATGATTTGAATGACTCATGTCACCCATGATTTGAATGACCCAACCGATACTTTGACAACATCTGCGCTCGGAGTTCTCGATAGCTGAGGCTCTGCAGTGATTTCAACCACCTTGCCCTCTTGCAGCGCCGGGACTTGGGGCTCGAGGTCCTGTGCAAGGGGTTAAACACTGCAAGCTGGTAGCATCTTGGACTCAGCACGTCCCCCCCCCCCCCGGGTGGCTGCACTGTAGCAACTAGTAACTCTGTTGGCGACCCAAAACAAGACCGGGAGCAGATCCCTGCAACCCACATGGAGCGGTTGGTGTAACTCAACAACACTCGGATTGAACGAGAGGTGCTCACTTGTATTGCGATGAGGTGGGCGTCTCGGACCGCTACTTGATGGAGTGCAAGAAACGCCACTGAGAGCCACTTGGACCACGGGGGCAGCCACTCACAACTCGCGCAAGCTTGATGGGACACTCGGAACACCTGGACACCTGGCACTGGCCTGCCTGAACTCTTGCTAGTTCCCCATTGCGTCAAGTCTGCACTTGTCACTCGACATCACCCAGGCGCAATTGATCTTTCGGCTCCTCCCAAATGCGAAGGGCCCTAGTCTCGGCTCCGTCCGGCGTCAAGGACTGCAGCAAGGTCAGCAGGAAGGGCAACGCCAAGGCTGCGCGGCTAAGCCAGGCCAACTGCAGCCAGAAAGCCCATGCTGCCAATGCTAAGCAAAGGTAGCAGAACGCCAGAAGCGTGTTCACCTGCGAAGGGAGAACCTGAAATTCACCTTCTAACTACCGGCAACTACAACAGCAGATTAGAATACTGTTGACATCGGATTGATACCCCCCCCTCCCGAGGAAGGTAGAGAAGGCTTTTCGGCTCGAAAACAAAAACCTGGCACTGAAATAATATGGGTGGTCTACTTTAGTATTGGGCAATACTAGTTTAGTATTGGGCAATACTACTTTTGAATTGAGCAATATTACTTTTGAATTGCAAATGAAAATCCCAGAGCTCCAGCTTCGGTCCTTGTTTCCATTCGATTTAGTATCGCTCGAGCTTCCTTCTGAATTTGATTTGAGCTTCCACTGATTTGATTTAGTATTGTTGGATATGAGTTTCCATTTAACTTCCTATTGAATGTTGAATTGACTGTCCAGTCAATATAGTATTGTGGGATGTCACTTTGAATTTGATTTAGTATTGCTGGAGCTCAAAAATGGGTGCCGAATTAAGAATGGTACGAAAGCCAAAGAAATAACAAGTGGCAACAGTTTTCGTATGCAGCTCAAATGATGGTAGGAAGCAACATTATGGGTACAAATAAACTTTGAGCACATTAGTAAATCAATTGGTTCTACCCAACGACAACACTGTAAAGGGAATTGGAACCCCTCGCACGCACGCTCATGTGCACCGGGTGATTTGCACACGTGCGCGCAGATCAAAGATTAGCTTGGCACGGCCGGCTTTGTAGCAGCCCCGTGAGTGAAAACTCAACAGAACACTTGTCTAGCATATGGCCGTCTGTTTTAAGGGTACCCAAACTTGCCGGTTCCCCTATTTCAAGGCACACCCATGGAGCGTGGCAGGCCGCAAATAGCTGATCAAATCCCGCCTGGGGCTCTAAATAGGGCTGCACCAACGCCACCATGGCCGCCATGCTCACGGTGATGCCGAAACCCAGCTGAAAGCCATCAGGGCTGGAGATGGTGGAGACCAAGGCTATGGCCACCAACTTCTGCACGATCTCCAGGAAAGCGTTTCTACCTACCCATCATGAATTCGGGTGGATTTGGTTGGTCTCTCCCCCTTGGTATCGGTTCCTTGGTCCGTATGGAATCTTGTGGATTCTTCAATATGGTTCTGGAGCTTGTTGGAAACAGGACAAGGATTCCTTTTGTGGGATGTGTTTAGGTTCCCAATTTGGAGAAACACCCTTCTACTACTTCTCTGTCGATGTCATCCCACACACATGTGACACGTGTTGGGGTCCTCCATTCTTGAGAGACCTTTGCCAAACGCGTGAATCAAATCTACAACATCTCCCCCCGTCGCCAGATGCGCCAAGATCGTTCCGAGCTGCCAAAGGAATATTTGGTCAGCAACTCCTTGGCACCCAGCAAGGTTCTCTCTGATTGGGTGACTTCTTGCAGGATGCACCTCTCCATCAGCATCTCACTAATGGCCCTGCATCTCAGTATCCGCGATTGTTGCACCTCATCCTCGCCAAGCACGGCCCCTACGACTTGTTTATCCATCTCCGCCTCTCCATGCATCAAGCTGCAACCCTCCAGCATCTGCACCACCATCTGTCCGTTTGTCATTTTCATGGAGAGCGGCCCTCGAAACATCAAGGAGATGTAGGCAGCAGTTGATGCGACTGTGTGACGGGTCCGCTGGTCATGCTGCTCTGAGACTTGGTTTCCTGACTTCAGGACTGGCCTCAAAGTCACTTTGAGATCGTCCTCTTGGGTTGCATTGACCGTAACGGTCCTGCTGCCGCGCAAAACGAGGTGCTGCCGAGCATAGAGGTACAAGAGACAGCATGGGATCACCACGGCGTAGCCGAAGGCAGTGCTGTAGGCGATCACGTCAACTCTGGTTTTGAAGGATGACTCTTCATCGCAAAGAATTTCAGGAATTGCACTTCTGAAGGCAAAGTTCTTGGGCAACTGTTCCTTGGCACTGCAAATGGCAGCTGAGGAATACTTCACGCATGGAAGCAAGAGCCTGCAAGTGCAGCTTGTTCATTCATAAACAGTCTCCAAGTCAGTCATAAAGAGGAACACACAAAAACGAACCAACATAGCATGTGTATGCAGGAGGGGTGGGTTGTTCGAGGGTGTGGGCTTTTAATGCATTGACCCCCCACCTCTGCAAACCAGATAGGAGGTAACCCCCCTAAAGCAAAGTCCACACAAGCCAGTTCAACGCGCATTGAAATGGCTTCAAGCCTGGCTTAAAGTCTGCAAATGCTCGCCTGCGACTCTAACAACTCCTTTTCTGAGGCCATAGATGCCCATGCCATGTTGCAACACCAAGATTCACCCAGTCCATCCGTCTTCTGGCAACTTAAAAGGTTCGACGAGCTGGACGCGCCACCAATGTAGAGCAAGGTGATGACCTGCAGGTATTTTGGCTGGCTGAGTCACCGGAAAGAGTGCGCTTCAAGACACAGCTGGCCCCTTGAAGTCAGAATTGGGGCACCAACATGAGACTCTTTGTCCGACATGTCCAACTCACCTGACATGAAGAAACGCGGGTGCTGCGCCATAGCACAGAAGAACAACATCACGATGACACGAGGTTTCATTGACACATTGCTAGACAGCACTGCAAAACGACAGCACCATCCAGCAGCTTCAAAAAAAAGGCCCCAATATATTTGTAGCGCTTGGTGGGACAAACAGGGCCACTCGTGCTCCAATTGACAGCTAAAATCATAGCAAAGGCGGCATGCGTCGAGCCTTCAATGCCACCGAAATACCAAGCCCTCGACGTGCGAGCTCCAATCCCAAGCACAGCACCAGGACAGCGAGAGGAAAGGCTGGAGCCAGAAGCGCAGATGCCCAGCGCACTGTAGGGCCATCCTTCTTGCAACCAAGCTTTAAACATGGAAATAATAAATGTGCTACTAAAACATCGCAATTGCTATACATTGGGAACTAAAACAACGTGCCGTACCCCAGAGCTCGCTTAAATTCGACTGGGCCAAGCGTCGTAGTGGCATTGCAGGTTAAAGACGCTTTTGAGGTTCGAAAGGGAAAGCTGAAGCGCTTGGATGTATGGCAGTTCCCACAAAGCGGAACTGGAAGGCTCCTCAGGTTCTGGGTAGGTCTTTGCATCAATCCAAATCGTCGGATGATGACACCAAACAAACGGGCACTATTACTTCCAAATCACAAGGCTTACACCGGCCTTCTGCCAAATACCGGTCCTTACTGTTGTTGCTTCCTTCTTGGCTTGATGACAACGTTGCCACGACAGTCCAAAGCTGGCCTCGGTGATCTCAACACAGCAGCCGTTCACAGCTGTATGACTGTGTTTGCAGCGCTCAACAACCGCTTGTTGTTCAAACCCTTCGGAGAGGTGCCCGAATACTAGCTCCAACATGCTCCAACATCAGGGTTCAACCGTGCCGGTACCGAATCTTAACATTCTCGAATGAGGCAAGTAGCATAGTTGGAGAAGAATTGGCGCCTGCACTCTGAGTTGATGCTTCAAAGCACCGAGGCCCTTGTTTTGCTGTCGCTGTCCTTGGCTGTCTGGATTGTCCTGTTGAGGCTGACCCTGGTTCCGTAGCCACAGCAGCCCTCCCAGCAATCCGAACATCATGGCGCAGCCCGCGGCGTGCCAAGCGTAGTGAATATCGGGCAGGATCGAGGCAGTGGTGCAACGCTCGCAAGCATCCCCACTTGCATAAAATCCAGCGCTGCAATCTGCACAAAGGATGCCCCTGTAACCAGTAAAGCATCCGGACGCGGACCCCGCGGACTCACCGCAGCGTTCTGGTGGGAAGCACTTGAACGCTTTGGTCTGCTTGCCCAGCCGCGCGAAGCCGAGGCGCGGCCTGACTGAGAGAACTTCTGAGCCTGGCGCCATGGCAGTGAGTGGAACTTATTCTCAGATGCCCAGTGGCCAGGGGAGAAAAAGGCCATCACTTTCTGGTTTTAAAGGGGAACTCTTCCCAAAACAAACTAAGCAACTGTGCAATCATTGAATTCTCACCAGACATGTCATCCCTGTTGCGAACACTCCCAGCCTGGCTCAGAGCAGTTCCAGTTGAGCTCCGGGCACTTCACGCACAAATCTCCCAGCTGCGCTTCACCCTTTGGACATCCGCAGCGCCTCACTTCCAAAAGGGTGCGGAATTATTTTGGGACTTTTCCTGTTGTTGTTTTTTTGGGCGCGTCTTGGCCAGTAAAATTTCGTAGATTACAGCATGTTCTCGCGAAATTGACGTATTTTACACTAGCCCGTCAACATCCCCCGCATGTCCGACCAATGTTCAGCATCACCAACAAATCGTGGGTAAATACATCTAAAAGTAGTTGGCGGGTTGAACAAATATATACACGTGAGCGGTGTCGAAAATAGGGTACATAAAACCCTCTACTAAGAAACCACTCTCGCGGAACCTTTTTGCGATGCTTGAAGCTTTCGCGAGGGACCCTCAATTAACTCCTTTCAGAAGGGCTTTTGGCGCTGCCCACATAAATGTAAAGAACACTTGCCGGAGATGAACTGGTGATGTTGAGGATGCGGGAAGCCAAAGCCAAAAACCAACCAAAGGGTGCAAAAGCCAAAAAGCCCGGAGAGGAACTGGGAAAGCAGAGGATGCGAAAAGCCAACGCCACCAAAAGCCGCATAAACCAGCGAAAAGCCGCAAAAGCCAAAACGTTACCTGCCGGAGAGCCACCAAAAGCCGCTAAAACCAACAAGAAGACGAAAAGCCAAGAAGCCGAAAAGCCAAGAAGCCAAAAGCGGGGAACAAAACTTAAAACATGCCCCTCCCTTCGAACAAGCGAAGACGCACGTTTGGGTCGCGCGGCTCACATTTCCCGTGGCACCAAGGCAGCAACAACATAGCACCAAGGTGGTGGCATGGCTGAACATGCTGAGAAGAATGTGCGGCAATTCCAGGTTTGGTGCACTCCCCAGCTTTGCAAGCCGCAAATCATGCCTCCAATGACTGAATTCTGAGCCTCCCACTCTCAAACTCTTAGACGGGGCACGGAGCACCACGGTTGTTGAAGACCTCACCTATCTTGCACTGGCACTGCCGCTCCGATGTAGCGCCTGCATCGGATTGACTGCCTTCCGGGCATTGCTGGCAAGCGCCCTCGAAGCCAAACTTGAAGGTGTTCTTGGGACACTGCTGGCAGTTGGCCCCTGAGCCATTCCTCAGATGCGCTTGCAAGGCAGCTCCTGATACAACTGCAAATCGCTCAAACACCGGAGTTCAATCAGTCAATTAGCCGATTTCAAATGGACTTTGAAGGGTATCCAGGATGGTGTTGGCAAATACTGATTTTCGTGGAGCCTCCAACCGGGGAGGCAGCTGCACAGCCTCTCCGGCGCGAAAAGCTCCGGTGAAATCTGAAAAGATTTTGGCAGCACGTCGTAGCCTTGGCTCTTGGAGTCTGTGGAAAAGGCAATTTGAAGAGGGTGGAAAAAGCTGCGTGGACCAAACAAAGGCTGGTAATTAGAACGTTGTCCCCAGGCATTTCGTGGGGGCACTCTGGAAAAGCATTGACTTCTGATCAACTACGTCCCTTCCATCTCAGAGATATTATTTTTATGATCCCCTCGTCCCCTTCAGCAGCTCTCAGTCAACAGGTGTGGCGAGGCTATGGGGGGGGAGCGTTGGTGGCCTCTGGCATTCTGGGCTGAGCTTTGGGTACGCAGTGACTTTCAAGCCGAGAAGCAGGCGAAGCCGCGATCTTCGTTCATAAGTGATCGAGATCCAGTAGGTCTTAGCAGCTTCTGGTCCAGAAGGTGTGCACTTTCCTCGGCGAGAGGAAAGAGGAACGAGACACTTGTTTGTGATACTTAGGTTCTTGGTTCAAGGGAACGGGATTGAATACAAGTGTCGCTTGTCTCGTCTAGCCTCAATCCCCAGGCAAAGGTCGATCTATTCTGTGTTTGTCTGAGCAAACTTAAACAAAGAACAAAGACACAGGTGAGCCTCTGCTGGAATCGGAAAATAAACAACTTTGGCATAGCAACTGGCAAGCTTCCGTTGGATCTTTGAAGGCCACATTCCACAGAGCGGCAAACACTCCAGCACGGATGGCGTTGCCAAGCACACCCTCCCCAAACGTCAAACTGCCGTCATTGCCTGCGGCAGTGAAGCTGTGCCATTGGGGCGGAAGTGCAGCAATATGTGATAACTTGTTGTATGACATGTCAACGTCCACAGCCGTGATGTGCTGCGCGTCGGTGCCTATCTCGCCGCTGAGGCCGGTGTTGGCAGCTTTCAGTGTGGCCAAAGATGGCGAGGCCCGGAGGCTCCGGAACAAATCTGCTGCAGAGCAGTTGAGCGGTGAGCCGCTCAGGTCCAACGTGGTCAGTTTGGGGAACATACAAACCAGGTGATGCACCACGTAGGGGTCGTAGCTATCACAACTTGCCTCTGGCTCCCTGGACGTGTCTACGAAGGACACCTGGGTCTCTGCCAGCTTCAAGACCCTCAGGCGCAGGCAGTCCGTCGGCCAATTGCCAACACGCCCTGACACCTTGGTCCCGGAGAAATCCGCAATGCTAAGGTAGGGGAAGTGGCGCAGCGCGGAGATGTCGCCAGTCACCCCGGTGTTCTGCAAGAGGAGTTCCTCCAACTCGTTGGCCTCAGTGAGGTCTTCCAAATTGCCAGTCACCCGGGTGTTCTGCAAGTGGAGTTCCCGCCAGCATGTTTTTCCCGCCAGGCTTTTCAAATTGCCAGCCACCTGGGTGTTTTCCAAGTGCAGGAATTCCAACCCCGTGGCTTGAGAGAGGCTCCTCAAATTGCCAGCCACCTGGGTGTTTTGCAGGTAGAGGCTTTCCAACTCCGTGGCTGGAGCGAGGCTGCTCAAACTGCCAGTCACATGGGTGTTCTGGAGGTAGAGGTAAGTCATCCTCGTGGCTTGAGCGAGGCTCTGCAAGTTGCCACTCACGTGGGTGTTCCGCAAGTCGAGTTCCACCAAGCCCGTGGCTTGTGAGACGCTTCCCACGTCACCAGTCACGTGGGTGTTCCGGAGGCACAGCTTCTCCAGCTTCGTGTTCTTCTCCAAGACCTTGATGTCGCCGCTGGCTTCGGTGTCGCCGAGGTCCAAACTTTGCCTCAGCCCAAAGGACCCAGAACTAAAAGGTTAACCTTTTGGCACCTCTACAAAAAATGGACCAACATGGGAAAACCAAAAGGTCAAAAGGTCGGCTTTGGCCAACTGAGTTGCAACTCCGTCAGCTCTGCGATCTGCTCGTCCAACGTGCCCTGCAGCTCCGCGAGGCCATGGAGGACGATCTTCCGGACGTCGCAGTGGCGCCTCAGATCCGAGACGCAAAAACCGCTCGCCGATGCTTTGCGCTGTCGCGACTGCGGTCATGTTCCACAGATTGCCGTGTGGGCATGGCCAGTCTTCCCATTCTTTGCCAAAGCCCGTCTCACTTTCATGCATCTAGTCTGTTTTTGTTTGTCCAACACGCAGTTCTAGAAAATATAAACTGTTGCGCGCCGACCAACTAGGTTGCGTGAGGTTTACCGATGCGGTTGCATGAGAAGGACCCAGATCGATGATCATCCAACACGCGCTTGAATTGAGAGATGCATCTTGTTAAACCTGTTTGCTATACGTATATACACATATATATATATATATGCGGCGTACGGAAGGTAAATAGCACCCAACCGTTTGACATGGCTTGAGTGTTGGGGAAATAAACCTTGGTGGTGTATATGATTCTTGCCATCTGAATGCATCTGAATGGATTGCCATCTTTGCTGCCAAGCATCCACACAATCTTCTGTTTCTCCTTCGTCAGGTTGTGCACGTTTGGGACATCCAGCCCGAGCTTCGTAAGCACTGCCCGCAAGGATGCCTCTTGTGGGCAGTTGCCTGCGCCTTGGACGCCTCAGCTCTGTCAAATGAATTGCGTGCGGTTGGAAGTCTCAACATTGTAGAGTGTGGCGGCGGTGGCGGCGGCGCTTGTGATCATGAAGAAGCCACCCATATGCGAACAAATTGTTGGGCTGAACCTCCTTTGGACACCTGCCCTGTCTTGGACCCACTCGTACGGCACCCAAAACAACCATGAGACCCTCAGTGCCAGCATTTCTTGCGAAACCGAAACTGCCACCTAGCCAGACCAGTCGCCATACTTGTTCGGCTCCGAAATATTTGGCATTGGGAGAACAACGGTTGATAAGACGCTCGTTGTCAGTGCTATGCCAAATCTGCGTCAACTTCTGTTCGTGGCAAGTTGTCACAGCGCGCGGCCGTACAGGTGTCATACATGCTTCAGGCATTTAAGTATGGAACTACTCTGATCTGCGGTGTTTGCAAGATCGAGTGTATTTACACAAAGCTTTAAGCACAGTGGGTTTTATGTCCATTGGCAACCTCCCACGACCCAGACTACAACCCTCGACATCCCCCCCGGAAGCTCCAAAAAGATCTCGGTTGGGACGGCTCATGGCAACCAATCGTAGGGAAGCGTCGGTGAAGATCCAGAACATCCTGTTGGGTAGATCTGGTTGCTGAGATCAGATCAATACCTCAGCTCTCGCATCGTGCGAAGCGAGGTGACCCGACATGCGTTCACATGCTCGCCACATCTCTCTGCATGCCCCATGTGAATAAAACAAACATCGGTTCGCACAATCGACTATTTTCACCTCAGAACCTCGACCTGTAGGCACTGGCAGCATTCAAGCAGATGTGGCATACTCGACAGACGGTGCTCAATGTACAAATCCTGGAAAAACCAACTCGGCTTCTTCCTGTCTGTGAGAGTCGAGAAGCTACTGCTTTGGGCAGGTGAAGGCTGACCAATTCTGATGTCACCTTTTGAGATGTTCCCGGGCCCGGAACATCCCCAAAGACTCCCTGCTTCAGCAAGGTGCAAAGAACGAGAATGAGCTGCCACAGCATGGCAGCTGATGTCCGGCACATTCATTCGAAGGCAAACATGGAAAGTGAACTTCACAAAAAAGCTTGACGCCTGCTTTCAGGCGCCAACTTCGAGCCAGGAAAGCAGGGACAATTCGATATTCCAAGGTGCTAAGGCTTCTTTTTTGATCGAAGCAATCCCTCAAGCACCGAGACTTAAGATGTTGGATCGCATCAGCATTCCCAAGGTTCAGCTTCAACGCAGAGAATGGGTGGTGTTAAGACATCCAAGGTGTCAGTTCGTCTCATACCCCCATATCCTTGGCTTGTGCTTTGTAATTTCTCAGCGTTTTGCGTACTTTGGTGCGGTGATGCTGGTGCAGCCCCGGTAGCGCGGAATTTCATGGGATGCCGGCATCAGGACAGCCCCTGCACAGCTTGACTGAACCGTCCAAGAATTTTGAGCACTGGCCTACTGTGAAGAAAGTCAAGATTTGTCGATATTTCTCTGACGCGCTGTTCACGTTGAGGGGCGCCAACACCAGTAGAGCCACATGCCATGCGTTGAGTATGGTGTACTCACAAAAAGCCACCCGAGGAACGGCTACAAAAAAAGAAAGATCCAGCATGCTGAAAGCCCATGGGTCACAAAGTCTTCGTCTCCGGCATGCATGTCTGTGCGCACCCTCGGTCACTTCTGTCTAAATTGGCAATTGCCTTTATGATCATGCTTGGAATTCCTTGCATGTTTGCTTGCAAACATTCGCGTGGCTTCAGGTCACCTTGTCAAGTTCGGAAATGCAAAACGAAAACAAACAGACTCAACAGCACGACACGCCTACATTGTGTGTGGTCCCCTGGGTAGGGCCGGCGCTTACCAAAATACAACTATTTCAGGCGTAAGGGGCACAACAAACATACAAACAAGCATAACGCATGTCATACATATTCTTGAGGGCCACCGCAGCTTGATGAAGGCAACGGCAAACATGCCGCGGGCCTGAGAGGTCCGAAAAAACATAAAGATGGCGGTCCCTGCGCTCTTGAGCGCTTCACTTTTCAGCGGAACCTAGTTGATAGGCCTCTTAGAACCCGGAGATCCCGACCTGCGAGTCTAAACCTTTGCTGGCCAAAAGACCCCCCCCCAGCCCCCACCCAGCCGGCCTGCGGCGAGAAGTGGCCGCTATGCGGCCGGTGCAAAAAACGTGGCTGAGCGAAATTCCATTGACATGTGCTTCAATACTGCCTTGCTGCTTCGCAAGCGCAGACAACTCGAGTGGTATCGACCATCTTGTCGAAGCGTGTCAAAACAGCCCACGGGCACCAATGAAACAAAAAGCAACGCATGCGACAGCTGGGAGAAAAACCCACCTCATTGCGCCAGAAGTTTGGTCCCAAACTTCTGGAACCCAAGGGGCTCTGGTCATGGGAGCCCCGCCACTTTGTGGCTTCGGCTTGGGGGTTGCAAGGGGGGGGGGCCTTCAGCGGCTCCAAGGCGCCAATTCCTTCCCGGCAAGTTCAAAATCAGGTTCAATAAAAACACAAGATTCCCCATTGCCGAAAAAACAATACGTTGATGTTCGAGTTCCATGCTCATTTGCAAGGGGGCAAAACATACTTTTCGCTCAATTAGTCTGAAGGCTGCGGTTCAATGGGTTGGGACAATACGCGGGAACGTACCAGGTGACCTCAAAAACACGGCGGTGTTCCTTTTGGTTTTCGTTCAAGCTGACAAGGGTGCTCTCAATGCAAACAGGCAAGTGCGCACACACACACACACACGTCAATGATGTGTATTATCTGCTGCGCTGTGCTCGTTTAGCGCCACGGTGACACGTCGGCCCGTCCCAACCGGGCGTGCATTGACAAAGGCCAGTTGCTGCTCTGCTCGCAGCAGCTGAGGCAAAGGTTGGCAGTGAGCAGGTCTCGCTGCAAACCTGCATCATACACACAGAAATGCACACGAACAAACAAGCACACACACACACAGACACCACACACACACACAGACACACACACACACAGACACACACACACACAGACACACACAGACACACACACACACAGACACACACACACACAGACACACACGCACACACACACACACAGAGAGACACACACAGACACACGCACACACACACACAAAGACACACACACACAGAGAGACACACACAGACACACAGACAAACAAAGACACACGGACACACAAAGACACAGAGACACAGAGACACAGAGACACGCACAAACACACACGGACATATACACACGGACGCACACACACGGACACGCACACGCACACAGACACGGACCAGGACACGGACGGACACACACGGACACAAACAGTCACAAACACAACCACACGCAAGCAACTGACACAGCCATGCACACACGCACACACCGTGGGGACGCATGACCCACGGAGCTTGTAATTGCCTTGCTGGCTGCTGACGTGGCTCTTGCAAGTAAAGGTATTTTCCTCACCAAGACCCTATCCTGAGTCCCTTTGTCGCATCACAGTTGCCGCGCAAGCCACCTGGGTAGCATGATTTGACCAGCCACTGATTGACTTCTCCGAAAGAGGTCGCGCATTCAAAAGGATACGCTGTTCCAGCGGTAGATGGCAGCATTTGCTTCATTTGCCAAAGGCCCTAAAAATACAAGGTTGGCCGTTTGGGCATTAGCCAACATTGAAAAACCCAAAGGTCAAATGGATACTTTCGCCTCACGCTTCAGCCCAGGGCTTCTTGGTGTGTTGAGGGGGCTCCAACAAGGTGGTTCGCTTTGGCTTCCCTTTGAAGCAAGCACAACATGGGTACCCCGAAAAAATGACAGCCCCAATGATGCCCTTCCCTGCACGAAGGGCGGTCCTTTGTACCACATATTTAAGACATATTTCACTTCGAGGAACCCCCGCCTTCCAAGAATGAAACCCCTGTTGCCCAGCAAGACCCGTAGACGTTTGCGTGGGAACTTTCTGAGCCCCGACAAATACATGATGTGGTTGTGAGGAGTTACAGTAAGCCATTCTTGTGGAGGGACGTTGTCCTGCGCCAGTTGAGATGGATGAAATCCTGCAAACAAAGGGGTGGACCAGCGGCAGGGTGCGCGCGCGCGCGCCCGAGTCCAGCAAGTCCAGCAGGACCAGCAGGACCAGCAGGTCCAGTCCCGCGGGTTTAGCGGGTCACAAGTCACTGGTTTTTGCAATTGAAGAAAACACACATCCAGCCCTCACAGTACTGTCAAATCCCTGGACACCGCCCCTTGCGCTGCCAATAGAACACGGGAAAATGCCTGACTAGGGCCCCTTGCGAAAGATGCTTCAATACCACCACTACAGGGCCACATGTATTGTGAAAGCACTCTCCTTTCAGCACTTGCCTCACCCTGAGCACTTCCCACAAGTCCCAGACGCCTCGCTGAGGGCCTTCGCTTCGGTGCTCTCTGCGGATCCACGCCAGGCCCGCTCGATCATGCAAACCACGGCAACCATGGACGGCGCTGGGGTAGAACTCGCTCTCTCAGTGATCCGGGTCACCTCAACTCACGGAAATTCCATTGGGAATATCGGGTTTTACCTTTATAGCCCTTGCTCCCAACAGCCCCGCAAACAAAAAGGTGGAAGCCCTACCTGGAAAACCCCCTTTCCTGGAAACCATAACCTTCAGAAACCAAAAAGTGCCACTGGGCCGGGCTGCCAACGTGCTGAAAGTCCTTTCGTGTAGTCCGTGCTTGATCCTCACAGGCCAAAGCCAGGGGCCAGGGCAGCCTCACAGGCCCAAGATTGTGCGGACCAGACCTGGCGAGTCACACGTCGCCCTGCTACCAGCAAAAGCCCCAAGTGCGGTTCAATAAGCAGGAGTATGGGACAAATACTCAGAAAAGGGCTTTGGGGTGCTTCAAGACCAACATAGCCCTCATGTAGAAGAGGAACTTGTGATTCAGAAAAGACGAAAGAAAGGAATGTATTCAAGACCGGCATTGTCACTCCAATGACTGGGTGTTATTGCAAGCGCCCCCAACTCTTCAACCATCCGACAAAGCTGCCCATGAAGCACTGTCATTGGCAAGCCAACAGTTGCCATGGACGAAGACATCCGGCCCTCAAAGGGGATTCGTTCCTTGCGAGTCGCCCTAGGCACAACACAGTCCAATCCGAGGGGCCGCGTCAAAGCGCCATTTCTCGGCGCGTCTCAAAATTCGGAACCCCTCCATGTGGCCTTTGCCGGTCATAGATCACTACGATAGGATTCAAATCAGCCATCCCGTAACCCAACCCCCTTGTTTCCCCCAAGAGTGGGGAATCCAATGAGGAGGTTTGGCATTGTGAGAATTGTGAGCCGCGGACCTATTATGGATGGACAAATTCCATTTCGCACCACCGCTCAGAAACCCTGGAATGAGTCGATTCCTCTGTAAATACCAACAAACCCCTTGGTTAGGTGGTGCAGGATTTCGCCGGGCGGCCTCCAATTTTCTCATGGGGACTTGGAAGTGCAGGGGTCGGACGCATTGAGGGCGCCCTCAAAGACATCTAGGCCCCCAGAGGCTTCGATCAGAAACTACCAAAGCTGCTGCGCGTGTCTTTTTTGAGGGTACCCCTAATTTGCCGGCTTTGCAATGAAGCCAAAACGAAATGAGCCACTGTGAGAATTCCAACACACGCCCATTCAGAGATTCAAGCCGGTGAAATTTCGAAACGTGTGTAAATTTGGGAGGGAGGAAAGGGAGCCACGTTGCAGAATCAAAGAGCATCGCAAAGGCCGGAGAGCGGAAGTGCCTTTTGATCAGCTCACTTGAACAAAGGACCCAGAAATAACAGTTTAACTTGTTTGCACCTCAACTAACGAAACGACCAAGCCAGGGAAACCAAAAGGTTAAAAAGGTCGTCTTTGAGCAAGTGAGCCAGCACAGGTGGCCCAAATGCACCACTTCACGCACCTTGTTTTGACTGGTTCAGTGGGTCCGTTTCTGCAACAAACGCAAACGCGAGGATGTTGCGGGCTCCTAATTGAGCTGTAAAGTATCCCTAGCTACTTGGCTTCCCTCAAATCCCCATGGCGCAAAGAAGCGTGTTGTCAAAATTGGGCTGGGTTTTTGGTTGCCCTTAGCCCGCCCACAAGCAGGCTACCCCACAAGAACCCGAAGCCCCGCGGCCTGGCGCGCTAGGCCGCCCTTTAGGACCAGCGCCTGCGCCCAGCCGGCGGCGCGCCCGGCGGAGCGTAGCACGCAGCTCTGCCCAGACGCGTCCAGCGCCACGCGGCGCCGCCGCATGGCGCGGAGCAGCTCCTGGAGCGCAGCGGTCTGGCAGCGATATGGCAAATGTAGCAATAAACCGAACCTTGAACAAACACGGGGGTAGCACTAAAACAACAATGTCACTAGCATATTTAGCTAGGCAATCCTTCAAAATCGAGCGAACGCGTATTGAGCTACGGGTAAAAAATCAGGAAACCCCTGGTGAACATCAAAATAGGTGCTACATGGTTGTTCATCCGCCCCAAAATGGAGGCATAGCTTATGACCCATGGCCATGAGTTTCCTTTCAGTGGACTGATGTCTAAAAGAGAATGTAGGGGGCCCTGTGGCTTTGGCTGGGCCAACCCCAAAAGGCGACCCGTCTGAAAAACGAGATTCTCTCCAGTTGGTAGATTGAATTGGTTTGGACGTTGGTGGTCTCCTTCTTCACCTTCAAAGCCACCAACCAAAACCATAAATTAAAAGGCCGCCCCACAAGGCAGCCAGGATGTTTGACTTGGAATAACTTGCTGCTTTAGGCAGGGAACGTAGAAGCTCAACATGAGCCCTCCTTGATAGAGCGTCGGGGTCATTCCCAAATTCCCAAATGCCGTTTGCAAGCGTGGTGTCCGCTCAAAATTCCTCTGGCTCCCTGAGAACCAACGAGTTGCGTGAGCCACTTGCGAAGTTGGGGGTGTCCCATCCACAGTTGTTTGGTTTTCTTTTATTGGTTGTTTCTTTTACTTTTCTTTTTTTTGGGGGGAAGGGAGAAACATGAATCCGCCGCCGCCTGGTTGAGAAAAAATGAATCTTCCGTTTATTCCTTGTTGTCCATTTACCCGCCAGGGAAACCATGGAAAATGCATAAACAGGGGCCTTTGTAGGACCCCCCTCCTTATACTTGATTAGGGGGTGGGGGTAGCTTAAAGTCGACTTCGGATTTATCCGGAAGTCCGTGCTGATAAATCGTGATTTAGTCTTGGGGAACTAGGCGTGAAACCTTTTGGTTCTGTTATGTTCTTTTTTCTTCAAATCTGAGCAACTGGTTAGGTGGCCAAATCTCATTGGGTTCTACCAAGCGTGTTCCTTTCTCAGATGCGACAAACATGACTGGCCTTTGGCGCAAGCGATCAGAACCCGTTAAAACAAGAATCGCGTTACCTGGGCACTCCAACATTAAAAAAAAAAAACAGTTGGAAAAAGTAAAAACAAAAAAAAAAAAACAGTTGGGTGAATAGAGCCACCATTTCCTACCAGTTTCATCACTCCCGAGGCGTCATTCCCAAAGGAGTGCGTTCCATCAGCTGGAAACCCCGAACCCCAACTGATTTTGACGAGGAATGTCTTCCTCCGGCTTGGATGGTGCGGAAGTCAACCCGACAAAGCTGCAGCTCTCATTTTGTGGGCGTTGTTTAAAAGGGAAGACCAACAAAAAGGGACACCCCCAACTTGGGCTCAATCCATTTGCACTCGCCCGCTTGACTCTCTCCTGACTCCAGGTCCAGGGTCCCTTGGCCAAGCCGGCGTTGAAGGTCTCAGCCTCCCATCTGTCAGCGGCGTGTGCACCCCCCCGAAAAGACATAGACAGAAGCAGAAGCAAACACAAACACACAATGTATAGACTAGTGCATATATTATATATGTATATATAATATATTTATATAACTGGCTGGCACTTAAAGGGGGCAACCGCTTAGGGGATGGAGTCCTACTTGGAGAACACCGGTTTGTCCGACGTGTAAACTTCACCCCGCAAGGAAAGAACCTAGAAACTGGCAATGCGTAAACCAAGGACCCTGTTCTAAATACGGAGCCTGGAAGAATAGAAGCCAAGTGATCCACCCTTCAGGCTTCCAAGACTTAGGGCCAAACTTGACCCACACCTAGGGTGCGCAGAAATTCATATGTTCAGATTCCGTTTCATACTTAGCTTGCCCAAATAACAAAACAAATTGGATGAAACGCTAGTGCGGGGCGGGAAGCCAAACCTCTGGCTAACTTAGCCCCCAGCTGAGATGTCACCGTCGTCGGTGCGGTGGCTATAGAGGAGCTGCAAAGCCTGGATTGGGAAGGGTCTTCCCTTATAAAACGGTTGTGCTCTAGGACCTTCAGAATAAGCAGATTCTTTCCTCCTTTGAAAACTGGAAGCTGGATTTCCCTTCAAATGTTGCAGTTTCACGGGCGGGTTACAATGAGAATGCGTTCAACAGGGAAGTTGAGGGTCCTAGAGCCGGAACGCCTGGCCAAGCTGGATGAGCTAGCTCGTTTGGTTGATGCGATCTCGGAATGACACTTCTACTGCGGATGGACACCTGCGCCATTTGGAATGGCTCATGTACTGGCTGCAGATTTTGTACATCCACAGGACCGCCGCCGCTACCACTCTTCCACCATGCTTCCCCCCAGCGTCATAGCCACTCCTACCGTTCCACTGTTGCTGAAAACCGCAGGCGCAAAACAGCAGCACTACAAAAGAAGGATCAAACGCGCAGTGCGACGCCCTCCACAAATGTGCTGCAGTCATGGCGCCAAATACCAGCGCAAGCCATCCACGCAGGCAGACAGCGTGGCCTCGCTTGGCTGGAAAGGCTAAGAAGAAAGCCTTTCAAAACCACCTTGAAAGCAGATCCGCTGAATCAGCGACTTGCGCGAGCAAGTCACATGCCGTGTCCTGGACGTTTTGAAATTTGCTGGCTACTCCCCGCAGGGTCACATGAACTTGTATGACATGATATATAATGTTTGAATATGGCACCTGGCAGGGTCCCACGAGGAACAGCGTTTTTCAGCGGTTTGCACATGCCCTCCCACAAGTCACAAGCGCTGAGGAAAATGTGCAAGGCACATGTCATTTCTGGTCGGATTGGAATTCGACATAACACGCGCCAATGGCCCGCAGCCTCCCGGTCCCCCATGACAAGACTTCCGAACCGGGCAGCCGTTACGAGGACAAGGGTCCGTCGACTCTGAGGAGCGCAGGGCCCGCCAAACCACTGCCCTGGGGAAATTTACCAAGCACCCCGCCTCAAAACCCAAAATAAGTGAGGCATCTTTTATACACTCTGGTCTTTGGTACGTCCGCGACACCACGGCCATCACATGGCCCACATCTGGGATGCATGGATTGCATGCTTCATATTAACATGATGGCCCACATTTGGAATACAGGGATTCTACAACCATGCTTCGTGTTGAGCCCCCCCGCTAAAAAGGGAACACGATGGGGTAAAGTGAAACACCCCCAGTTGTTGACTTTGACAACCCCGCCCAGTACTGTGGAGGCCACGGATAAATCAGCCCACACGCCCGCATCGCCTGTGGCAGGCGCCCGGTGTCGGCCGCAGCTTTTGCGCCCGCGAGGCCGCGGAGGGCGAAGCGCCAGGCGGCGGCGGCGGCGCAGGCGGACGTGACGACGCCGTAGAAGAAGGCGTCCGCATCTCCTACGGCTGGCCCCATTGTTTCACTAAAGTCGTCCAAGTGGTAGGTTAAATTAAAGGAAAGACCACAAACCAGTTTCTGGCTTTGCTCCTTTCCTAGTGGCACAGGGGGCGCTTTGTCTCTCACATCGGCTTTCTTCCCACATATTCCCCCGCGGTTTGCAACCATGAGGCCACGTCAAACTTCAAGTCTTGGAGTTCCTTTGGGAGCCTGAGCCCATTGGCAGAAAGTTTCAAAAATGTTTATCTTTGAGGGTTGTATAAGCAATTCGTGGAACTATACTTACAAAAGAGAATAACGCTGCGCCAAAACATGGAACTGTGGCACGCAGGTCAATCATGAAAACTTAGAAGGGGCCCGGACGAAATTAAAACGAACCACGACCGAGATCTGGAACCTTCCAGGATATCCCCCTGGCAACTCCTTATGCCCGCAATCACCAGCCACCAACACCAGCACCCGCAGCAACAGTAGCGAACACGAACATAATCAGGTAAACAGCACCAGCACCGGCACAAGCACCACCACCGCCGCCGGCACCAGCACCGCCAGTCTTAAAGGGGCTGGCTGCCAATGGGGCGCAAAACGCACAAACACAACCACGCAAAAACAAACACACGCACGCAATCACAAACGAAAGCACACAACACGCAAACTCATGCAGGCACGAACGCGCAAACACAAACAGGTAACCATGCACACACACACAGACACACACAGACACACACACACACACGGACACACACACAGACACACACAGAGACACACACACACAGACACACGCACAGACACACACACACAGACACACACACAGACACACACACACAGACACACACACAGACACACACACACAGACACACACACACAGACACACACACAGAGACACACACACACACACAGACACACACACACACACAGACACACACACACAGACACACAGACACACACAGATACACACACACACAGACACACACACACAGACACACACAGACACACACACAGACACACACACAGACACACACACAGACACACACACACACACAGACACACACACACACAGACACACACACACACACAGACACACACACACACAGACACACACACAGACACACACACACAGACACACACACAGACACACACACACACACAGACACACACACAGAGACACACACACACACAGACACACACAGACACACACAGACACACACAGACACACACACAGACACACACAGACACACACAGACACACACAGACACACACAACCGCAAACACGCAAACACGCAAACACGCAAACACGCAAACACGCAAACACGCAAACACGCAAACACGCAAACACACAAACACGCAAACACGCAAACAAACACACAAACGCACACAGAAACACAAACCCAAACAAAGACACACACACACACACACACGCACGCACGCACGCACGCACGCACGCACGCACGCACGCACGCACGCACGCACGCACGCACGCATGCAAACACACAAACACAAGCACAAACACGCAAACACAAGCACAAACACGCAAACACAAGCACAAACACGCAAACGCGAACACAAACAGAAACACAAACATACTCAAATACAAATACACACGCACAAACACAAACGCGCAAACACATGCGAAACACAGGCACACACAAACACATAAATGTAGAAACGCACAATAGCACACAAGAGCGCGATAGGGCCAACTTTTCTCCATGGAGCTTTCCTTGAAGCAACCGAAAGCCACAAGAGACCCGTACCCGAGCTGGAAAAAAGGCAGGGCGCTTGCGCCAACAAGGGGAAATGTATGGGGAAAGCCCCCCTCCGTAGGGTAACCTCCGCTTCCGTACACAGCTTTTGTAGGCGGTGGGAATGCACAACACAAAGTCAAAGGCGATGCACTTCAAAAGAACAAGCTCAGGCCATTCCCTTCAGAAGGGGACCAGGGGCTACTTGTTTCAAGCATGTTTGCAGTCAACCCTGCAACAACACCTCGCCGCAAACTGTCGCTCGCAATCCGCGCAGCACAAAACATGATACGGTCACCCTACCCTAAGCCAAAAACATACGAGTAGTTTCGGAGACCCTAGAAACCGAGTTGCGCCGTCCCCGATGCCTTGGATGTTTAGCGCAAGCGTCCAAGCACTGCTGCCAGCTCCAGCGCTGCGGACGGTGTTAAAGGACACCTGAGAGGCTCACTTCCAAAAAGAGTGGGTTGGAATGTGTGATTCAATTCAACCCCAAAAAGTGAAAGCCCAAGAGCTCAAGGGAGCAGAGGCGCGCAAGAAGAATCAAACTAACATTTTTTGAACAAGCTTGTTGCGGTACTGGAATATCTCAGATAGGTAGGTTGTGACATGGCATGGTTGCCGTTTTTCAATGGCACGCAACAGCGCGGCTCAGCGTGCAGGATTTGTATCGTTGTTAGGGCCTTGCTTTTTAACATGGTCAACCCAAACAAGGGTTCAAAATCGACCGTAAAATGAGCTCATCTGCAACCAGACTTTGTACTTTGTTGCGGCCTAGTGTCCAAGAGCAAGAATCATATCGAAGATCATCGTAAAGAGCTTTGCATCGAGCGATTTGTATCGGTTTCGGTTGGGATTAGCTTGGGGGCCATTGGGGACCATTAGGCCAGCCGGCCTGCGACGAGAGGCCCCGCGATCGGCCCGCGCAGAAACGTGGCTGAGCGAAATTCCTTTGAGACGTGTTTTCAATGCTGCCTGCTGGATAGCAACCGAACATTCAAAGCAATCAACCGTGTCAAAACAGCCCACGGGCCAATGAAACAAAAAGGAACGCATGCGACAGCTCGGAGAAAAACCAACCTCATTGCGCCAGCAGTTTGGTCCAAACGACCGGACCCAAGAGGCTCTGGTCACGGTTTGTGGCATCGGTTTGGATGGGGCTTGACCGTGTAGCTTGAATCAATCGGAAACCAAAAGAAATACCGCCGTTTTTGAGGTCACCCGGCACGTTCCCGCGTATTGTCCCAAACCATTGAACCGCAGCCTTCAGACTGGAGTGAAAAGTATGTCTTACCCCCTTGCAAATGATCATGGAATCCAAACATCAATGTGTTACCCTCAATGGAAAAGCACAAAAGCACACACACACACACACACACGTGTCCATGTTGCGTATCTGTTGCGCTGTGCTGGTTTTGCGCCACTGGTCGAAAGACACGTTGGCCCTCCCGTCCAAACCAGCTAGCTCACGTAGCGAAGCGGCTGCGTTGGGCTGCAAACCCATTTGCCGGCTCTCACGGAGGGCGTGCATTGACAAAGGCCAGTTGCTGCTCTGCTCGCAGGAGCTGAGGCAGAGGTTGGCAGTGAGCAGGTCTGGCTGCAAACCTGCATCATACAAACAAAAACGCCCACAAACAAACAAGCACACGCACACGCACGCGCACACAACACACAACACACAACACACAACACACAACACACAACACACAACACACAACACACCACACACCACACACCACACACCACACACCACACACCACACACCACACACCACACACCACACACCACACACCACACACCCACACACCACACACCACACACCACACACCACACAACACACAACACACAACACACACACACACACTCACACACACACACACGACACGGACATAAACCAGTCAAAAACGCAGCCACTCGCAAACACACAGACACAGTCAAACCAGCATAGGCACACACACAAAAAAACACTGACTCAGCGCCATGCACACGCGCAAACACTTGGCAAACATTGTGGGGATGCGTGACTGGGGAGCTTGCAATTGCCTTGCTGGCTGCTGACATGCAACTTGCAATTAAAGTTGGTTTTTCTCACCAAGGGCCCATCCTGTGGCACTTTGTGGCGTCACTTTTGATGCGCAAGCCACCTGAGTAGCACCCATGAAAAAGGCACCCCTTGCGGGAAATATCGAGACCCCTGAAGAAAGGCAAAACACACACAAACAAACAAACAAACAAACAAACAAACAAACAAACAACCAAACAACCAACCAACCAACCAAACAAACAAACAAACAATCAAACAAACACAAACAAACAAACAAACAAACAAACAAACAAACAAACAAACAAACAAACAAACAAACAATCGAGCAAGCAAGCAAGCAAGCAAGCAAGCAAGCAAGCAAACAAACACCTTTCACGGGAACTCTGTTGAGATTGTGGAAAACACCCCTTGAGGGAAACATGCCGAGACCCCTTGTTTACTAAACATACACACACACAACAAGCAACCCACCCTTCAAGTGAAACATGTCAAAACCGCGCACAAAGGGGGGGACACTTCGGCGCCCCATGTTTTTCAATTTTCGCCGTGCGCCCAAACGCGTTTCGCCCTTGTCGGGAGCGGCGGCGCCTCGGGCTTGCGCAGTCTGGGCGGCGAAAAGCGCCATGGGCCAATTCCGACGGCAGGTGGCCGCCAAGGCGTTGAAGAGCAGCGTGCCTTCGATCAGGGGGGGGGTTGGGCTGTCCTCCACGTCCATGTCTGCGGACCTTCAAAAGGCGAAAAAAAGGAAAATTGCTCACCAGAAATGGAATTTTAAGGGTCCTCTCCCAAGTCCAGACAAAACGGGGGCGGGTATGGTGTTGCAAAGATGGGTTTCAGTGGGTTCACATATGAGCTTCTGGACATCGTGACTGCCAACAACCGTTACAGGGAATGATTTTGGACCGAAGCTGCGGGTGCTGGAGGTTAACATGGGCTACCATCCAAAACACCCACAGAAAACTCCTTTTGGGAATTGGACCCTGTTGATTGAAAGGTGAATTTGTGGAGCGCATTCCATATCCTAATTCCATATCCCCGCCCCAAATGTAATTTTGATTTCTGATTTGGGGGTCTTTCTATCGGAGCCCTCGAACAAGGGGTCTGGGATGGTCTGGGGAAGCTGCTGGACAAAGAATTGGAACCCTGAAGCTTGACCACCTCCAGCCCTGGCCCTCCCAAACAAAAAAGAAACGGTAAAACGGGCACCTAGCTGGGAGACCTAGCCATCTCCGCCGCTTGCCCAGTGGCTTTCGTAGCCTTCCGCCAGCAGCACTGCCCGAGGCCATGGCCCAGGCATCGCCGACGTGGCGGTCACCTCGGCTGTGGTTTGGAGCCCGGTCGGGTGGTGAAACGGAGGGGTGAAACCCAGGTGATGTTTAAAACCGCCCAAAAAGGGAAATATAGGGACCCATGTACCCTCTACGAAAGCCAGGGGTTCAAACTCCAAACCACCAACTAAGGATTGCCTGAAGCTCACTGGCTAGAAAATAGAAAGAAGTTCAAACCATTTGGGATGTGACTAAGACGAAGGCCATGAGTAAAACCTGCCAGCTCAAAGTTTGGTTTCACGCTTGCGAACTCATGTACTGCGAGGTCGAATCAAAAGGGTCGAATGGCCTTGGCCTTTGGCAGGCCCTCGGGTATGACTTGCGTTTTGGTGCAAGCTGGATCCCGTTCACTGGGGCCCGTTGAACTAAAGAATCGTGCAGCAAATGCACACCCTGATCAAAACTCCACATGCCAAACTGTCCTGGACCACGACTTTGTGAGTGAGTTCCTCTCGTTGTGCTCAACACGTAGGTAAGATGTGAAGCTTTTTTGTCCGCGTGGCCAGCCTGGTCTCCATGATCGCTGCGCAAAATAGCAGACAGAACACATGTAGGAACAAGCTGGCAAGCAACCAACATGTCCAAGCAACATACCTGGGTGTTAAACAGAAGGCCGGGGGGAGGGGGGAGGACAAACATATCCCCTTGGCGCTGAGAGAAAGACAAACACACCTTCGTATAGGGGAAATGGCAAGTTCGGGTTTCCTTTTGTTTCCCTTTAAAACCACTCAAGAGTAAACCTGACAGGGACCCGGTCCCTTTAAAATTTAAAAGGAAATGGTCCAAACCAGGACCCCCCTTACCTCAGGTTCCATGGTACTACATGGTACCCTCAAAAAAACAAACGACACGTCAAATCGCCCGATTTGGCACCCGACTCCCAGCGAGTCAGGCGAGTCCTGATGGCCCAGACCCGCCTCGTCGGGCACAAGGCTCGACACTTTCAGCGCCTCCACCAGGCCAAGAGAGCGCTGCCAGCCTGCAAGCCGGAGAAAAATCACTGCAGCTGAGCCAACCTAACTACTATCAACCTGAAACAAGAGACAAAAGGAACCTTCAAGGTGAGTCCGGAGAAAAAGGAGGGACAAAAACAAAAACCCTACCATAAGCGGGAGGGGGGTGGGGAGGTCGGGACCCAATTGCATTTATCTAGTCTTGCCAAATGGAATTAAAGGGGTCGCCCCCCTCCCGCAACTTCATATTTAAGGAAGTTGCGATTGGAAAAACTGGGCCAACTGTTCCAGAAAATGAGCAAATCGGGCTGTGCAAAATCGAGGGTTGGTCAGTCCGAATCCAAATTCCCTATTCACTTTTTGAGCCACTACAAGGGGACCTAATTATTTCGTAACCCAAGGTGAGGATTGAGGCTTGCAGCATAGCAGCATACCCAGCCACTAGGTACAGTTAACAGACTTGGTTAGATGTCAACCAGGGAACTGATTGGGGGCTCAATATTTACAATAACTTGAATGTTCTCAACTCGAGCGGTACAACCGAGCTTTAAGAAAAAACCAGACCTTCTCCACTGAATTCGCTCGTTCCATCCCCCGGAAGGCTGAGCCCGTTTACTTTTTTCGTGAGGCTGATTGCGAGAGCAAGGCCTCAGAAGCAAACCAGAGGGCGGGGAGGGGTCCATCTTGCAATACAGGCGAGCGCTGTACAATTGTAAACCGTTCCCCGCGCTTCCAGTTACCACTTTTCAAGGGACACCACAAATTGAAATCCGAAGTGGAAAACTTTGGATACGCTAGTCCGAACTGCTAGCTTTTTGGGGTTGCTTTACAAGTCATAAGCCATGCGTACTGCAAAAGCAAGCAACTTGAGACAGCCATCTGATGAGCCAGGCAAATGTGTGCCGCATACTTGGCCTTTTGCTGCGCTGCTCTGAAATCCAACAGACAAGCAAAGCCTAACGCAGGCGGAACGACGCAGGAGTTTGCCGCACTGTCAGCAGCACCACCTACCAAACTCATGGCAAGCGGCACAATGCATCTGATCATCTGGCATTCATGTGGCCCTTGAGCGATGTGCCACACGTAGTAGGCACGTGGCCCAAAAGCAACGAAACGGTAAGCTTGGCAGAGCCAAATGTACTTATTGCAGGATTCGTGCACATAAGTGGCGACGCTGCAGCTTGAACACTTTAGTTAGGCCAATACATTTGCATGACATACCGCACTATGGGTATGTCAATTAGGGCAAAACGCTGAAACCTTCGTCACAAGCGCGTTTGAAGCCATTCGAATCTGGCCTCCCTCGCCACCCAACAGGCTGTTGAAGGTGATCACGTCGCATTGAACGAAGGACCGGCACTCCTGTGCTCGAAACTGGGAAGCGAGCAGTGCCCATTTCACCCTTGACGGTTGGTTCTACTAACCAGGTTGTACAGGCTTAGGAAGGCCTTATTATAAAGCTAGGTAGCAGATTCCAGTGGGACCACATTTCTAACATTGCAGTTTTCTGGGTTTGGGTGCTGCTCTGACGGCCGTGTACTTGAATCCGACGGATGCCCCATGCCCCGAATCAAGCGTACCCTGCAGGAAACAACGCGATTCTTATGATCCACGGCGCTCTCCTCACTTGCGGGTCTGGCCTTTGAAGTACTTGTTTGTAGATTTACGTGGAAAGCAAAGTGGAAACCCCTTCCTCCCACAGTTCCTTTACCATTGCTATGCGTCGCAATTCTCCACTGGTCCAGCTTGCAAACTAAGCTGATCCAACACATGTTCGCCAGGCCATGTTCTAAAACAGCAGCACCTGGACATTGATCTCCCTACAAACCTGGGAGTGCAAACTTCCCCGTTTCCTGTAAATCGACGCGAACATCCACCGGCCCCATATGCCCCCAAGTTCGACCCCGTTACATTTCTAATGCCAACTCTGACTGTGACTTGGCAGCTTTAGCAAATGGACAAGCTCTAGTTCTGTTTCCTCTCAGGGTGCAAATGCACGGGTCCTCCAAATCTTTGGGTGATGTTCAGAGTGGCCCGAAGGACGAAAATGGTACTCTAGCACCTGTGCTTCCCCACAGATTCTTCGTGGGTTGCTTGGCAAAACGAAAAAACACGCCGCCCTTCGAGTCGTCCCAAAGAGACCGAGCCTTTGGAACCCGGGCTTGGGCCTAGGCTCGTGTCCTGCAGGAGCTGGCCCGCGCGAAGCCAGGATCTGGCGACACGAGAACAAGACGCGCGCCCGTTGTCTGACTGCCAGCCGAGTGCGACGCCCGGAAGAATCAGAAGCTGTTTTTTTTTTTTGTGTGTTTTTTTCCTCGTAGGGGCTGTTCCCTCCAAAAAGCTTCCTGAATCCCCACTGAAAGAGTTCCCACCAGCCCGAAAGGTTGAACCAAAGTTGGAGCGCAGGCCAACCCATTGCAACACATTTTTTAGGGGACCTTGCACAGGCGTTTCGGGGACTCTGTTCAAAACCCCCTCCAGCTTTGTCACCCCAACCTTTCTATGGTGAGGCGCATACGAAATTCTGGACAACAATTCTACAAGAAACTCAGCATGGGGCTATTTAAAATTTAGCACCGAGGTTTCTGGTTGCAACTGGAAGATTGGTGGCTCGGGAGAGGATTTGCCCGAAGTTGTTTAAGGAATGCACCAAGACAAATGGGACCCAGAGAACTGGGTCAACCTGGCATGGGGGGTGAGAAGATTTGGACAAATCGAAAAACCTACATCTCGGGTGTCTTTTGGCTTGAGAACTCTTCAAACGGCCGCGATTGTCCGATGGCACCGAGTAAAACTGCAATCCCCTTGAAGATGACCCACGTCCCAGGCTAAAACCACGAGCCGTATCCCCAATCCTCACGGAGCCAAGGCTGATGGCGAAAAAACGGTGAACATTGATCACGGCCACTAGCCACCAAGCTTGGATCCCGGGATCTTCAGCAGGGATATCTCACATCATTGCCAGTGCCTCGTGGCTTCCACCGCGATGTTGTACCTCGTGCGAGCCATGAGCCAATGCCCCTTCAGATCCGGTGGACAGGTCAAAGGAAACCCTGAAAATAGATACCCGACCATTTAAAGGGAACATGGCCTTCCAAAACCCTGTGACAGGTTCCATGTTAATTGCCGGGAGGGTATCATTTCGTTGCAAAAAGGGGACCAACTCGGTACTTCAAAGTAATCTGAAGTTGGCATTACTTGTTTCCCCTTAATCCGTGCAAAACACAGGGGAACCTTCTGAAACATCTTTCGTGAGCTTCTAGTTGGGGAACATTCGGTCCCAAATGGAACATATTCGCAATTTTGACCGAGACTCACATACGGCAGTTTCTCGGGAAGCCCCAGGAAAACCAAACAATTAGGGGAACAGATCCATTCTTCAGAACCCCTACGCTGTCGGTGTGCAGCTGGGGCACGTAACAACGTCCGGCTTGATCTGCGCGCATCTCACCCCGGAAAGCATAGACAAGGACTGGCGCCAAACTGAGCAATCCGCGCACGCAGAGATGCATGCCTCAGCTTAGACATGGTCACAGCTGCGCGGTGCAAGTAGATGGCAATCTCCCCATGTAGGTTTGGTCATCCCGTTTACTTACCCACATGTTATGTAAGGAAACTACGCCATCTACTTTGGCTTATCCACCTCCACCCGCTACCATAGATTTTGCGCTCAGCACGCACCGCATCCTGAAATTGGAGAAATGGACACATTGAATGAAAATTGCCGCCTTGGACGCAGCAACACGGATCTTGGAGCGCAAGTTGTGTGCAACTGCTACGCAGCTATGTTTGTCTGCCGTCTCTTGCCCCCTTCCTTTTCAACAACTCGGGGTCTTGAACGTCTCGGATCCGCAATCGTATTTCAAGCTAGAACTGCCCGCCACGTCAAGCCAATGGACATCAAGTAAGGCTGCTTGCAAAGTGTCTTGGCCTCACCCCGAAACTATCCGGCGCCACCTTTCCAGACACCGGGAATGTCCGACTGACGAAACTGCCAAAACACACAAACACGCACACAAACACGCACACAAACGCACCAGTAAACAAGCGCTTAAACACACGCGCAAACACAAACGCGAACAATCACGCACACACACACACACACACACACACACACACACACCAAGAAACACTGGAATGCTCAAGGCCCCTGCGTTGGCGGCAACTACTTCTGGCAGCTTCGCTTTTTGCCTGCCCAGCTCAGAGCACAGAGCGCCATCAACTTGCACCCGATCTGCTTCGAATATTAGGGACAAGCCCGCCCACCCCGTCGGAAACGGTTCTTAGAACTGTTTTGGAACAGCTTAATAGATGGGTTCTGACGGCCTGCGAATTGGAACTGAGGGAAACAACCTGCATGTGAATTGGATTGCTGAGCCGCTTACCCAAAAAGAAAATGTCAAGGCCAAATGGGTGCATTGGCTCACTCCGATCCATGCGTAACACTAAGCGAGCTCGCTATAAAAGTGGCGTAGCAATCAGAATAATCGACGCATTAGGCAAACATGTGTGGTGCTGGGCCAACTCCGCTACTACCATTAAAGCCATAGTGGTTCCACACACACCTGCCAAACTTGACCCGCGGCCTGTTGAAGAACCAAAGGGCCAGCGACCAATCGCTGAGCTTGCGGCAAGCAGCAATCACCTGTCAACGAGGCACTGTTCACAGGGTGCCCACATGCTACTGCTACGACATCTACGACCATGCGGTACAATTAAAAATGCTGCCTGGTAATGTGCACAGGTAAACAAAACCGACATGCAGGTTCCACATTGCCAACCGCGCAAGCATGTCTACAAATCACCTAGGGCTCGTGCACAAGCACACTTTTCTAAGTAGGGGCCCCTGCACAATCCCATGTCGATGTTCTTCTGCATCAATATGCATTTTCAAACTCTAGAGCCATCCGAAACCTGAAGTACAGGATCCGCCATGCAAGCAAAGCATTAGCATCTACGGGAGTGTTTTACACCCAAGTGCGCGAGGGTGTTGACTCCTTTCCCGCGCCTCAAGCAAGTCCGAGACGCTCTGGATGGCCCAGTCCGCACGCTGAGCGCAAAATGCAAGGGTTGCCCGAAGGCCCCAGGAGCCCACCTAGCACAGGGAAAAAAAAGAACAGTTCACTCGCTCGGGGTTGTGATGACGCAAAAACATGGCGCCCAATTTTGATCACCCCCAAGCAAAGTGTTCAAAAAGGAAGTGCCAACCTAGGCCAACGATGTCAAATTACGAAAACAATCATATCTCACCAACCGACCAGAAATGTAATCGGGGACACCTACATCACGGTCAGCTGGAGCCCCGGTGATTTTGAGATATTTTAAGCCACCAAACTTGCCAAAAGGCCTTGGCATCTCAATGCATCGGCGAAATCGGGCCTTGGCGTCGTGCAAGCGTTTGAGAACCAGCAGCCGGTCTGTGAACATTGCGGTGCTGGCCGATTCAAAAGTGAATCGAGTGATTCTACTTGGAAGCTACCAAACATGTGTCAAAATCGTCCGCCAGAAGGGAGGACTGGTTTCCCGAACAATCCAACCCTAAAAGAGGTAGTTACCCTTTGGCATGTTGGAAGGTGCACTGCCCGAAACAGAGACAAACCCTTGGACTGGACGCCGTCTTCACAAAGACTGAGCCATCAAACAAGTGTCCGGCACCCGCGAAACCAAGCTTGGGCCGGGCGTGTGACACAAATAGAAAGGGTGAGCAAAAACAAAAACCAACTGATGGTGTCCTTGTGCAAGTCATAAGGCCCACACTCTTCGTACAGGTTGAATCGAGCACAGCTCTGCTCTGAGCAAAAAGAACGCAAGCCATGACAACCAAACAAGCGTGGCCATGCGATTTTGGACTGTAGCACGGCATCTGATGTTCATGCCTGCAGCCCTGCTTTCCAACCACGGTTCCATTTGTTGGTTCAACGCAGGGTTGGCCCTTTCTCCCAAAGGGAGAACGGGAAAATCCTTGGCTTAAGTCCCCCAACCTGTTTGCAACCAACAAGCGGAACGAACTTCCAACCAACGCTATTCGCACGTCACCTTAAGCGCCAGAGGCGTCTTTTTTGGGTACCGCCGCCCGCTGAAATCTCTTCGGTTCTCGGCCTGGCAGTGGGCTGACATCGGTTTCGTGACGAGGTCGCAGGTCTCTTGACCCAAGGGTGGGACATACCAAAACAGAATCGCCACTAAAACAAGCCTGACCCCAGTTAAACCCAAGCTGAATGCTCAAGGGTTGAATCACGCCTGATCTGCGCGCTGAGCTGAACACACCTCCTCTTTTGCACGTATGTCACTCAAAAAGGGGTTTCGAGTCTCGAGGAACTCAGAGCGGAACTAAACAGAACCAGGGGGGCAGGTTGGGATTGACAAAGCACAATTCACGACATTGGGCCCAAACAAATCTCGGAACATGCTACTCATAATCTTTCAGAAGTGCCAAGCGCCCCCGGGTCTTGTACAATCGATGCGCGCTCAAATGGGCTTCAGCAGAAACATTGAAGCTGATTGCGCTTGTGGCCTTCATTTCTTGAAGGTCCTTGAAATTCGCACAGAATTGCGCTGCCCCTCAGGAAGCGCGGCAACCTTGGCTCCCAACTCTTCGCGACCAGCTTGTGCCAACATGTAGGAGGGCCGCAGGTTGTTGGACATGCGTCGGCTGTTGCGATCGTGGGCCTGCAAGGCTGGGTTGCGGTCGATGGTGGCAGGCTTGTACTTCTCCCACAGCCGCCCAGCCGTCATTTTCACCAGGTCCAAAAAGAGCAACCACGCGATGTCATAGAGCCACACCTTTGCCACATCGGAGGGAAGCAACTTGTCCACGAGCCCCGTGGGCGCCACCAAGCACCAAATGTTGATCAGCACCTGTCCCAAGGCAGTAGAGAAGGTCAACTGCCACGCCGGCATTGTCGTGAAGAAAAAGCCAACAGTGCCTTGGCACGTGGCGTGTGCTAAAATATGTTGTTTGTTCTTTAAAAGAACGTATTTTGAGATGCTGGTCCGTATGTACTGCAGCCAACCTGAAACTCAAAGCACCTGGCTATAAAATGCCAAAGAGAATCCCAAAAGCTGTCGGTGGACAGGAACCCCCACCTAAATGTTCGAAGGTCGGCCCGCAAACCAGTCAAATGCCGAATGCATTTGGGTATGTGTGACCAGGACAGGAGGGGAGGGACGCCCAAAAGGGTACACCGAGTACCCAACAACAAAACAACTCCTTATTCCTGAGACCCGTCCAAAGCACGTGCCGAGAAGATCAAGATTGCCGAGGAGTTGGAGATCTGCAGGAAGAGCGTGGTCTCCATGTACCTCGCAACTCGAAAACAAGAATGTCCCATAATGTCCCATAGAAAAGGAAAACACGCTAAATCCATTTCTTTGGTTGGGATGCGGAATGTTTAATTCCCATGAAAATCACACCACCCCCCAATCAAATAAGCAATGGTATCTCTAACAGCCCCGGAAACTCCTGGAACGCTCAGGAACCCTACCTCAGATCCCCGGGCCTATCTGGGCAGACGTAAACATGAAACACAATAAGCTCAGGTGATATCCCCAACAGCATCCGGCGCTCTTTTTCGACCCTCGCGGAACCCTGCAAAACCTCATATCAGCTCCACCCCGGCCAGACCAACCCAGAACCTCCGGAACACTCCAGAGCTTTTTCGAGCCTTCCCCAAACCTTGTCTGGGCTGAGACCCCTTTAGCTTTCAGCTGTTGGGGGAAACAACACTGATGCCCCAACAAAGAATTCCCCCCCCCAACCAAAAAAAAGCAAAGCAGGGGGGGTGGAACTCGCAACTGGGCGACTTGTTCATCTCACTGCCGGCGGCGTCGCTGTCCATGGATTGGAAGTAGCCATCTCCTCCCGACGCAAGTAGGGTTGATTTCCTTGAAGACCCCCTGAAATAAGTCGCTTCCCTTTGGTTTGCTTAAAAACCCCCCTCCCCCCCTCCCCCCCAAACAAAATGAACACCCAACAAAGGACATGCCAGCACATGCCCATGTGGACCATTTGCGCCGGTGCTAATTAGAGATCCAGTTTCTTGATGAGCAGTTGAGGGTTTTAGAGGTTGCTCTTTTTAATGCTCTGCCGAGATGGGCTCCGGAGTGCTTCGGAGAAGAGCTCCGGGCTAGGGTTAGCAGGGTTCGGAGGGACGCTTTTCGGTTCGTGGGCACAACGCTGCGCTGGATCCAAAGCAGGAAAAACATCCGAAGCGGAGCCAAGTCTCCATAGGAGTCGGAGAGGAAGAGATGGCCGTAGGACACCAGCAACATGGTCTGGACAAACATCAGGATTCCCATGGAATAACTCTGCAAAAGCAAGCCCAACACCTCAGCAGTGTGTTTCCATGGGACGTGCCTTTGCTTGGCACCCCTTGCTTGTGAAAATAAAATGGAAACCGCCCTTAGCTTGAAAGCTGGCAAGAAAACATGGAAACCGCCCTTTGATTGTTGTTGCTACCCTTCCTCAACAAAAGGGAACGCGAGCGGAAATTACTGTTGCAACCGGCAAACGGTCGGCGTCTCAGGCTTTGCGCCAGCCACTTGATGGTCGTAGGCAATGGTGACGATCTGCAGGTCATGGAACCTGGGCCGGACTGATGCGACCTGCCAATCAAGTGCATCCACTTTTCGCGGGGGGAACGGAACAAGTGAAGGAACCCCGACAAAACACAAGTTAAAGGTAAGAACCACCAAAAATAAAGATGTCCGGCCAATCGCAAGAAGTTGAAGGCGAAGAGTTGAGAAGATAAGCTAAGTCCTGCAATGGAACAAGGCCAAGAGAATGATGTAGAGAGCCTTGAAGCGGAGGTTGTAGAAGATGGCCAGGGCGGCCAAAAAGAAGACCACCTGCACAGTGATGCAAATGCGGTAGATCACGTAACTCCTCAGACGAGTGGGTGGGTTCCATTCCATGGCATGGGAAAATGCAAGCTTTGTTGTTGACTTGCTGGGTTTTAAAGGGAAAGCTCAACCAAACGAAAAAAGGAGGAAAGGAGTGGACCTGACTGGGCTGGGACACTTCAGGCGCTTGAAGATACGCCGGGAGATCTGAATGGCAGTGTAGATGGGTGAGAGGCCATCCTTGGTCAAGACGATGTCACCAGCAGACTTGGCCGCATCTGTCGCACCGTGCACGGCGATACCAATCTGGGCTTTGGCCAAAGCAGGGGCATCGTTCACACCATCACCTGTCATGCCCACCACCAGGCCCTTGTCTTGGAGCACCTGCACCACCTATCGAGCTTGACCACACAATTTGGACTTTCGGAGCCCAACTTTTGGTGGGGGTTAGGGAAGCCGTCCGACGCATGGCCATAGAAAACCGACATGAGAACCCCACCTCGTGCTTGTCCAAAGGCTTCACTTTCGCAAAGCCGTCGCACTTCATGACGATGAGATCCCGAGCCTCACTGGGCGGCTGCAAGCAATCCGGGGTCCGGATATCCATGCCCAGGTCGATCTGGCGGGCCAACTCCTTGCCGATGTTGTGATGATCGCCGGTGATCATCTTCACTGCCACCTGAAAATGTACAGATATGTGGCTGGTTCCTTGACCCTGGTGCTTGTGGTAGGCTTTCTTTTTTAAAGCGATCATATTGCACAAAGGGCTCCGATTTTTTGACAACCCCCACCTGCGCTTGCTTGATCTTTCGAATGGTTTCCTTGGTGTCATGCCGTGGGGGGTCCATGATGGGCAAGATGCCCGCGAAAAGCATGGGGCCCCCGTTCTTGGACACCGCCACGCCCAGAGTCTTGAAGCCGGAGATGCCCAAATCCGCATCGGCCTTGAGCCAACAAGGGTGAGTTGGCAAATGAGGTACAGGGGATGATTAAACCCCGTTGATTTTCACCCCATCGCAACCTTCTTTCTGCAATGCAATTTTCCACTAAGGGATTCGGATTCCGGATTTGTTTGGAAACGGACCGTCGAAACACTTTGAAGTGTTCGCTCAACCATGGCCTTGGTTGCCGTCTTTGACATCTCCGCATAGTTGTCCACGGTCCACTGCTTGCCCTCATCATCGGCGTTGGTCTTCAAGATCACGTCGACCATGCCTGCAAGAGGGCCCCCTAGATCGCTAGATGACACTTGCAACGCACAGGAGGTGCTTAAACCAACGAGAACCAGAACCCATGGGTATGTGTAAAAATAGGAGGTGCCAAATGCCAAAGCTGATTTGAAGCACAACAAACAACACAATTACACAAATAACACAACATAGAGCAACACCAAAAGGAACATCTCCAGTTCGGTAAAAAAAATGACGCAAATCCCCAGGTTGATTAAGTCATGCCCTGTACTCAGGCAGATTTGTGCCATCTACCAGCTCACCCTCCTGTAGAGGGGTGTCTCAAAATGTCGGAGGTTCGGCTACCCTTGAAGCCAGGGCGCCCCTGATTCTGAAACAGACACAGGGACACCCTGCACAGTAGGTGCCAAAGGCTACCTGAGAATTAATCACAGGCATGCGGAAATGGACATCACGAAAGAAGGGGCCAAGAGGAACATTAGCCAGCCCACAGCCCGTACAAAGTGACTTGGCAGGCACACTCCCGCATGTAAACTGGACCGCTCCAGCAGCACCCCGATTTTGAGCCCGCCTTTCCCCCCCCGTTACCCCGTTACGTCACCCCCGTCCGCCCCCCCGTCCCCCCCCCCCCCCCGTCCCCCCGTCCTTTAGAGCAGAACCATTTGGTGCCGTCCTTGGCCGTGACCGCCGCGCAGGTGCGCTTCACGATGGGGTTGAAGCCCATGAAGCCCTCCGGATCCAAGCCTCAGACTCGGGAGCACGCGCGCACGCGCGCGCGCGCGCGTCATACATGCTTCTGGGTCGGAGCAGAGGTGGCAACGTGTGTCATGTTGGGTTTCCTTTGCAGCTGGCTGGTTGTCGAAATCGGAGCCCTAAAAATGTAAGATGGTTGGCTTCCTTTGGGGGTTCCGCTACTGAAGATGGCAGCTTCTTTTTCGTGTCCCGAAAATCGAGAAATCTCAGAAAACAAAGCAAAAAGCGCCTCCCCCGACGGCTCTTAGCTACGTTGTTTGCTTGGGAAGGGGCAGCAGTCGGGAGCCTTTGGGCCTGCTTCTTGTTGGCTGATTTCAGAATACAACCCTTCCCAATCGACAAGTTGTAAAAGACAAGCACGTGTGGGAGCTGGGAAGCTGTAGTTTTGTTTCCTCTTGTCCACGGCATCATCCACGGATGTGAAGTTCTTGGACTTGGCATAGGCACGGAGCACTGCGGAGTCGATGGGGTCATCCTTGTTGGCTTCATTGGATGCCAAGGAGGCAAACTCCAAGACCTGCAGGGGGTTGCATCTCAAAAAAATGCGAAGAAACGTACCAAATTGACACCTTACAGTAGGGGGAACTGACAATGCGTTTAACCTGTTGGTAACATGTTTGAACAGGGCTTACCCTGGCCACCTAAAGGGAACCAAACGGTTGGATGTTTGAACATTTGGGTGTGACTCATTTGGGAGAGGGCCCATTTTAGGTTGAAAGGGGGTTTGCCCTGACCTGCTCAGCAGAGAAGCCGTTGTAGGCTTTGGCGGTCTCATCGTAATAGACCGTCATCTGGGCCGTGGTGAGGGTGCCCGTCTTGTCGGAGCACAAGACCTTCATGGAAGCAATCCTTAGCCCACTGCATTTTCTCCCAAAGGCACCTGTTCCTGGTTGAAGTTGAAGGAAAAACCCTTCCAAAATAAGGACGCTGTGCCACCAGGCTGGGAATCTCTTCCAGCGCTGTCAGGTGAGTTACAATGCCACCTTCATCTGACATCTCCTCGGGTAACAAGTTGATATTGAAGGGAGCTCCCTCCAAAGAAGGGGAATCAATTGATGTTAAAAAAAAAAAAAAACAACAACTTTAAATGATGGAACCTCCTCCAAAATACAACCATGAATTCTAAGGGAAGCCCCTCCCATTTGCTTAAGATGGTTTTACATGAAACACCACATTTTTGAACTGTTTGGCCATACAATAGTTGTCTTGATTTTGCTGTTTGGGTTAGTGCTTCTAACAGATCCCGCCCGAACCAAAGATGCAAAACTAAAGTTGCTGCACCAGAGGCGCCATTCTCGGCAGTTGGCCTTTACCAAAAACAACAACTGAATTCAAAATGGTTCCCGCCCTCCGAGAAAAAAAAGCTGAAGCTTCCTTACCGCACCAAAGGCGTCATTTTCGGCAGTTGGTCTTACAGGGAATCCCCAATAAAAAGGACACCTGTTTCCTTTTCCTGGCCACCCGTTGGTCTGATTCTTGTCGGGTCCCGGAAAATTTGGTCCTTGGCCCCAATGGACAAGGTCACCTTCATCACCATGGGAAGCGCCACTGGCACAGAGGCGATGACCAGTGACAGCGACATCTCCAGGACTTCAGTGATCTCAACGTGCTGGACGAAGTACCTCGGCCGAGCCGTTTTGCCGTCCGGCTTGTTCAAAACCAACCAACTGGGTTGCAACTCGTTCTTCGGGCAAATGGTCTGACATGTGATAGGTTTAATGAGAAAGCAACATTTGTTTCACAAGGTCTAGACGGCAAGGTCACACAAAGACCAGACAAGACAAGCACGGTGTCTTAGTCCCGGATGTTCAAGATGGAGTGCTGGCCAATCTCAACCCCATTGGAAAGCAACTGCATGTCACAAATCCATCTCTAGAAACGATTCTTCGGACCCCAAAAAGAGACCCCGGAAGACTGAGGCACATGAAGTAGAAGAGGAAGGACACCACCACGATAGTGATGAGAATCAAGACTTGCGCGGCTTCCAGGATTTTGCCTTCAAAGACCCCGATGTCTTTGCCGGAGGCTTCTTGGATCGCCTTGGCGGCCTCCCCAATCATGGTGTTCATGCCCGTGTGGCTGACCACCGCTTGGCACTCCCCGACTTTCAGGATGGAGCCGGACCACCTCAGCGTGGCAAATCCGATCGAGAAAGGCCACTGTGGTGGTCGCTTTGAAGGGGAACACTTCCCCAAAAAACAAAACACAAACAAAACAAACGCAAACAGGGGGACTGAGTCATGGGGAAAAGGCGAAAGGGTGGAAACTTTGGTTGCTGGTGGATTCTTATCGGGTTTCACCCTTCCCCGCGCGTGCTGGTTGCTTTGAAGGGACGCCTGCTGAATCTTTTGGGGAATCCCTCCTCCACAAGGTTCGGAGAAACAAAAACAACAAATTGGAAGCAACTTTCTCTGGGCCACATCTGGCGCCCCGAGGCAGGCTTCCCCTCGTCATCCTTGCGGGGGACCTTCACTGGCAAGGACTCCCCCGTCAACGCGGCTTCGTCCACCTGACCGCCCGAAACCAAACTGACTTTCGGTTCTATGCAGGTATATGCAAGTTGTAGGCCTTACTACAAGCACACTTAAATACGGTAGTACAACCATCTGGACTCAAACTACCCATTAAGAAAGGACATTCACCCCAACATATTAGGGCAATAACCCATTGTTCAGGGTATTTTGCGGGTCCAAGCACCTGCTAAAATGGTCCGTGGGAATCGGTTTTTGGGCACTCACCTGGCAGGGATCCCCTTCCATCCAGTAGCAGTCCGCCGGCACGATATCGCCACCGCGCATGAAGAGCACATCTCCGGGCACCACCTGCTGTTTAGGGTGTCTCTGTGAGGGAACCTGAAAAGGGGGCCGGGGGCCCCCCCTATTTAGAGCAAGCTCATGTTGTTGCAAGAGTAGCTAAGTTCTGGCATGATGGAAGTGAACAGCACGTTGCAGAACAAAAACCTGAACCTGAGCTCGCAATGGGACTTCAAGCGATCGCACGTGGATCTGGATATGCGTCAAAATAGGTTGGCCCAACAATTGTGGGTGTCCTTTAGGTTTCACTTCACACCAGTCTGAGAAGGGTCGAGGGCAACAAATATGTTTTCAGCCATCGATTCCTTTGCGGGCAGAACTACACTGAAACGACAACGACCGTGTTCGTTGGAAGCGCGCTCCTGCACGACGGGGATGCTGTCGAACTTGCCGTTTCGCTTCACCGGCATCTTCTTCTCGAGACCTGCCTTCAAAGCATCCACGGAGGCTTGCGCGCTCTTCCTCAGCTCAGATGTTCATGAGGAAAAGATTTGGCATGGGTTGCTTCGGTTGGCCGACTTCAAAGGGAAGCCATGACCCAACGGAAGGGAAAAAAGGGATGCCAGTTGGCAACAGGGCTTCTCTTCAAAGAATCCCAAGGTGCCGTTGGTAATCAACAAGACCATGATGATGGTGAAGTCCGGCCAGTTGTGAATCAAGAAGCACAACAATGCAGCCCCCTCGATCATGATCTGCATGGGTCCAGTGAATTGTTTCAAGAACATCTTCCACAAAGGTTCCTTCTCCTCGGGCACTTCATTCAGGCCATACTTCTTCACCATCTCGGCCACCTCGGCATCTGTGAGGCCCTTCAAGAGCGATTCCTTGTCCTCGGCTACCAGGAAATGGCTTTTTATGTGATCACCCCTGGGATCTGAAAATGGGCAGAAGCCGAATTGGATTGACGTGATTGACAAAAGATGGCCCACACAGCCCAAACGAACAAAAAGGTTGGCCAAGTGTCACTGTCTAGCTTGGAGAGCGCAAAAGGTGGAGGCAAGGGCCCCGCCGGCGCATCGTCCATCTGCTTGTAGTCGCCCATCGGAATTTCGTGCTTCAGATGTCCGAAAAGAAACAAACCAAGGACGGAATGGGACTCTCCGCTGTCGCATGGATTGAGCCAAGCAAGAGGCCGGAAGTAGGTGAGCTCTCCCCGGCCAAAAACAACAAACAACTGACGGTGTCCTTCTTGTTTGCCTTGCACATGAGCCGACAGGGGGGTGCCGTACCCCCCAAAAAAGGATACACCCTCTTTGTAGTCTTCGTGGTACAGGCTGAATCACGCACGATTAGGTGACCACGAGGTATGTTTCACGTCCCGCCCTTTGGCCCAAGCCTGGGACATACAAACACTGTAATTTCTTCAGACTCTCGCCCATACAAAATGCCTACCCGTGCATACCCTAAATGCAACACAGTTTTAAGGAGATGGTTGAATCACCTCTGCTCTGATCTTCTGTGCAAGCAAGCTGCATTAACCTCCTCTTTTGCACATATTATGTCATTTAAAACGGGTTTCGAGTCTCGCAGATTTCCGAGCCCAACTAAACAGAACCAAGGGGGCACAGGACATTGAGTCCAAACAAAACTCGAAACATGAAGCTATTCATAATCTTTTACAAGTGCCCAGTGCCCCCTTGTCTTGCAATCGATGCGCGCTCAAATGGCGAAGAGAGCAAGAGCTTCAGGAGAGAAACATTGAAGCTGATTGCGCTTGTGGCCTTCATTTCTTGAAGGTCCTTGAAATTCGCACAGAATTGCGCTGCCCCTCAGGAAGCGCGGCCACCTTGGCTCCCAACTCTTCGCGACCAGCTTGTGCCAACATGTAGGAGGGCCGCAGGTTGTTGGACATGCGTCGGCTGTTGCGATCGTGGGCCTGCAAGGCTGGGTTGCGGTCGATGGTCGCAGGCTTGTACTTCTCCCACAGCCGCCCAGCCGTCATTTTCACCAGGTCCAAAAAGAGCAACCACGCGATGTCATAGAGCCACACCTTTGCCACATCGGAGGGAAGCAACTTGTCCACGAGCCCCGTGGGCGCCACCAAGCACCAAATGTTGATCAGCACCTGTCCCAGGGCAGTAGAGAACGTCAGCTGCCACGCCGGCATTGTCGTGAAGAAAAAGCCAACAGTACCTTGGCGCATGGCGTGCGCTATGTTCTTTTTATGTGCTGCAGCCAACCTTAAACTCCTACATTTCCATAGGGAACCACCAAAAGCTGTTGGTGGAATCCCCATCTAAATGCGGGCCCGGACCCAGAAACAATCCCAATGCACTTGGGTATCTGTCACCCCTTAAAAGGGGGTGGGACGCCCACAAGGGTCACCAAGCACCCTCAACCAAAGAAACAACTCCCTATTCCTGAGACCCGTCCAAAGCACGTGCCGAGAAGATCAAGATTGCCGAGGAGTTGGAGATCTGTAGGAAGAGCGTGGTCTCCATGTACCTCGCGGCTCGAAAACGAGAATGTCCCACAATGTACCATGGGAAGAGAAAACAAACACACCAAATCCACCTCTTTGGTTGGCTTAAGCCACGGGACGAGGAATGTTGAAATTTGCATGGGAACCAAGGGGGGGCCAACTCCATTCTAATTGACGCACCCAAACAAAATAAGCCGGGCTGTAGCCCCAACAGCCCCTTGAACCCTCTGGAAGCAGAGCCTCCCCGACCCGGAGCCTATGTGGACAGAGACCCCATAGCGATTGGGGAAAAAAATAACATCAATTTCAAAGCTGATGCTCTTCCCAGTCTCACCCACCCACCTCGCCCCCCCCCCAAAAAAAAAAAAAACTGCAGAAGAGAAAACGAGAAAAAGGGGGGGGGGGGGGGTGAACTCACAACTGGGCGACTTGTTCATCTCACTGCCGGCGGCGTCGCTGTCCATGGATTGGAAGTAGCCATCTCCTCCCGGCGCAAGTACTTCGAAGACCCCCCAATAAATAATTGGCTTCGTTTTAGTTTCCCTGTGCTGATCTAAAGGTCCGGTTCCTTGTCAAACAGTTAAGGGTTTTTAGACGTGGTTTTGCCAACCACCAACGGGTGAAAGGGTTCGGGAGATGGGATCCCGGAGTGCTTCGGAGAAGTGCCCCGTCGAGGATCATGAGGGATTTTGGGGATATGGCATCGACTTCTTGTGGGCGAAACCGATCGACGCAAAGCAGGAACGACCTTCGAGGCGGAGCCAAGTCTCCATAGGAGTCGGAGAGGAAGAGATGGCCGTAGGAGACCAGCAACATGGTCTGGACAAACATCAGGATTCCCATGGAATAACTCTGCAAGAGCAAGCCCAACACCTCAGCATTGTGAGTTTCCATGGGACGTGCCTTTGCATGGCACCTCTTGCTGGTAAAAATAACATGTGTTTGAAAATTAGCAAGAAAGCATGTGCCCATTGATTGTTGTTGCTACCCTTCCTCCAAAAAAGAGAAAGCGAGTGGAAATTGCTGGGCAGCCGGGAGACGGTCGGCGTCTCAGGCTTTGCGCCAGCCACTTGATGGTCGTAGGCAATGGTGACGATCTGCAGGTCATGGAACCTGGGCCGGACTGATGCGACCTGCCAAACAAGTGCATCCACTTTTCGCAGGGGTGGAAAAAGTGAAGGAAACCCAACAAAACGCAAGTTAAAGGTAAGAACCACCAAAAAGAAAGATGTCAGGCCAAACCCAAGAAGTTGAAGGCGAAAAGTTGAGAAGATACGCTAAGTCCTGCAATGGAACAAGGCCAAGAGAATGATGTAGAGAGCCTTGAAGCGGAGGTTGTAGAAGATGGCCAGGGCGGCCAAAAAGAAGACCACCTGCACAGTGATGCAAATGCGGTAGATCACGTAACTCCTCAGACCAGTGGGTTCCATTCCATGGCATGGGAAAATGCAACCTTTGTTGTTGACTTGCTGGGTTTTAAAGGGAAAGCTCAACCAAACGAAAAAAGGAGGAAAGGAGTGGACCTGACTGGGCTGGGACACTTCAGGCGCTTGAAGATACGCCGGGAGATTTGAATGGCAGTGTAGATGGGTGAGAGGCCATCCTTGGTCAAGACGATGTCACCAGCAGACTTGGCCGCATCTGTCGCCCCGTGCACGGCGATACCAATCTGGGCTTTGGCCAAAGCAGGGGCGTCGTTCACACCATCACCTGTCATGCCCACCACCAGGCCCTTGTCTTGGAGCACCTGCACCACCTATCGAGCTTGACCACACAATTTGGACTTTCGGAGCCCAACTTTTGGTGGGGGTTAGGGAAGCCGTCCGACGCATGGCCATAGAAAACCGACATGAGAACCCCACCTCGTGCTTGTCCAAAGGCTTCACTTTCGCAAAGCCGTCGCACTTCATGACGATGAGATCCCGAGCCTCACTGGGCGGCTGCAAGCAATCCGGGGTCCGGATATCCATGCCCAGGTCGATCTGGCGGGCCAACTCCTTGCCGATGTTGTGATGATCCCCGGTGATCATCTTCACTGCCACCTGAAAATGTACAGATATGTGGCTGGTTCCTTGACCCTGGTGCTTGTGGCAGGCTCCTTTATTTGTGAAAGGGTGCGATAGTATTGCACAGAGGGCTCCTATTTTGTGACAACCCCCCCCACCTGCGCTTGCTTGATCTTTCGAATGGTTTCCTTGGTGTCATGCCGTGGGGGGTCCATGATGGGCAAGATGCCCGCGAAAAGCATGGGGCCGCCGTTCTTGGACACCGCCACGCCCAGAGTCTTGAAGCCGGAGATGCCCAAATCCGCATCGGCCTTGATCCAACAAGGATGAGTTGGCAAATGAGGCAAAGGGTATGATTAAACCAACTCAAGGGACTTGTGCCCTTGATTTTCACCCCACGGCAACCTTCTTTCTGCAATGCAATTTTCGACTAAGGGATTCGGATTCCGGACTTGTTTAGAAACGGACCGTCAAAACCCATTGAATTGTTCGCTTAAGCATGGCCTTGGTTGCCGTCTTTGACATCTCCGCATAGTTGTCCACGGTCCACTGCTTGCCCTCATCATCGGCGTTGGTCTTCAAGATCACGTCGACCATGCCTGCAAGAGGGCCCCCTAGATCGCTAGATGACACTCGCAACGCACAGGAGGTGCTCAAACCAACCAGAACCAGAACCTATGGGCATGTGTAGAAATAGGAGGTGCCAAAGCTGATTTGAAGCACAACAAACAACACAACATACGAAAATAACACAGCATAGAGCAACACCAAAAGGAACATCTCCAGTTTGGTAAAAACAATTGACGCAAATCCCCAGGTTGATTAAGTCATGCCCTGTACTCAGGCAGATTTGTGCCATCTACCAGCTCACCCTCCTGTAGAGGGGTGTCTCAAAATGTTGGAGGCTCGGCTGCCCTTGAAGCCAGGGCGCCCCTGATTCTGAAACAGACACAGGGACACCCTGCACAGTAGGTGCCAAAGGCTACCTGAGAATTAATCACAGGCATACGGAAATGGACATCGCGAAAGAAGGGGCCAAGAGGAACATTAGCCAGCCCACAGCCCCTACAAAGTGACTTGGCAGGCACACGCCCGCATGTGAGTAAACTGAATGACTCCACAGGCACCAACCGATTTTGAGCCCTCCAGTCACCCCCGTCCCCCCTCCCCCCCCCCCGTCCCCCGCGCCTTTGGAGCAGAAATATTTGGTGCCGTCCTTGGCCGTGACCGCAGCGCAGGTGCGCTTCACGATGGGGTTGAAGCCCATGAAGCCCTCCGGATCCAAGCCTCAGACTCGGGAGCACGCGCGCGCGCGTCATACATGCTTCTGGGTCGGAGCAGAGGTGGCAACGTGTGTCATGTTGGGTTTCCTTTGCAGCTGGCTGGTTGTCGAAATCGGAGCCCTAAAAATGTAAGATGGTTGGCTTCCTTTGGGGGTTCCGCTACTGAAGATGGCAGCTTCTTTTTCGTGTCCCGAAAATCAAGAAATCTCAGAAGGCAAAGCAATGCTTGAAGGGAAGGTCGGGAGCCTTTGGGCCTGCTTCTTGTTGGCTGATTTCAGAATACAACCCTTTCCAAACAACAAGTTGTAAAAAACAAACACTTGTGGGTCCCAGCGCTTGCAACTGGGAAGCTGTAGTTTTGTTTCCTCTTGTCCACGGCATCATCCACGGATGTGAGGTTCTTGGACTTGGCATAGGCACGGAGCACTGCGGAGTCGATGGGGTCATCCTTGTTGGCTTCATTGGATGCCAAGGAGGCAAACTCCAAGACCTGCAGGGGCTTGCATCTCAAAAAGACTGTGAAGAAGCGTACCAATTTGCCACTAGGGGAACTGACAATGCGTTTAACCTGTTGGTGAGTTAACTTGTTTGAACAGGGCTTACCCTGGCCACCTAAGGGGAACCAAAACGGTTGGATGTTTGAATACTTGGGTGTGACTCATTTTGGAGAGGCCCCATTTTAGGTTGAAAGGGGGTTTGCCCTGACCTGCTCAGCAGAGAAGCCGTTGTAGGCTTTGGCGGTCTCATCGTAATAGACCGTCATCTGGGCCGTGGTGAGGGTGCCCGTCTTGTCGGAGCACAAGACCTTCATGGAAGCAATCCTTAGCTCTCTGGATGTTGGAAGACAACAATGGCACCTGTTTCTGGTTGAATTGAAGGAGAATCCTTGCAAAAAGGGAAATGCGGTGCCACCGGGCTGGGAATCTCTTCCAGCGCTGTCAGGTGAGTTACAATGCCACCTTCATCTGACATCTCCTCGGGCAAAAAAATGATATTGAAGTGAGCTCCCTCCAAAGAAGGGGAACGAATTGATGTTAAAGCAACAACTAACTTTAAATGATGGAACCTCCTGCAAAATACAACCATGAATTACAAGGAAACCCCCTCCCATTTGCTTAAAATGATTTCATATGAAACACTGCGCTTTTTTCCCCACTGTTTGGCCACACCATGGTTGTCTTGCTTTAGCTGTTTGCTGGAGGGGGTTAGTTGCTTCTAAAAGTTCCCGCCCTCCGACCAAAAGAGGCACCACCACAGGCGCCACACCAAAGGCGCAATTTTCGGCCGTTGGTCTTACAGGGAATCCCCAACAAAAAAAGGACACCTGTTTCCTTTTCCTAACCACCCGCTGGTCTGAATCTTGTCGGGTCCCGAAAAATTTGGTCCTTGGCCCCAATGGACAAGGTCACCTTCATCACCATGGGCAGCGCCACTGGCACAGAGGCGATGACCAGCGACAGCGACATCTCCAGGACTTCGGTGATCTCAACATGCTGGACGAAGTACCTCGGCCCAGCCGCTTGTTTTGCCCTCCGACTTCTTCAAAACCAACCAACTGGGGTTGCAAACCTTTGTTCCGTCAAAGGGTCTGACACTTCTTCAACCACAACCACCAGGTCGCAACTCTTTCGCGCAAAAAGGTCGTGCTAGGTTTCATGGACAAAAAACCCTTTGCCTCATAAGGTCCAAGACGGCAAGGTTTCGCCAAAGACCGGGGCTCTGAGAAACAAACAGCACGACCCATGTTCTTTTGTTTGTGTGGATAGGTGAAATAATTATGGGGGATATAGAGCGCCTAGGCACCTCAGCGGGATTTCCGCAGGACAAAGGCACCTTTTGAAGATTGGCTGAGCCTACAAGAGCAAACAACAATTGGCGCCTTCTGTCGGCTGGCTTATTTTAACAGGACCCAACTCTAAAGCCTAAGCTAAAAGATTCTTCGGGCCGCACAAAATACCTGGGAGGCTGAGGTACATGAAGTAGAAGAGGAAGGACACCACCACGATAGTGATGAGAATCAAGACTTGCGCGGCTTCCAGGATTTTGCCTTCAAAGACCCCGATGTCTTTGCCGGAGGCTTCTTGGATCGCCTTGGCGGCCTCCCCAATCATGGTGTTCATGCCCGTGTGGCTGACAACCGCTTGGCACTCCCCGACCTTCAGGATGGAGCCGGACCACCTCCGCCCGTTCTGCGCAATCCGTGGGATTGAGAAAGGCACCACTGTGGTGGTCGCTTCAAAAGTAAGAACCCTTCCCTTCCCCATGAATAAAACAAACAAAAGGGGGACTGAGTCATGGGGAAAAAGTTTGGCTGCTGCCGCGCACACCATCAACTGCTATTTTCCCATGCCCAAAACTCCAAGTACAGTCCCAAAAGTAGTGGGTTGGGACCCGGGTGTCGGGTGATCTTGTTCGGGGAACACGGAACCCCCAAAACAATTCGGACAAGATGGGAGCAAGCTTCTCCGGACCTTTTGGCTGGTGCATTTAAAAGGGAACCCTTCCCCCTCCAAACGGAAGCAACACCCGGCTGGGCCACATCTGGCGCCCCGAGGCAGGCTTCCCCTCGTCATCCTTGCGGGGGACCTTCACTGGCAAGGACTCCCCCGTCAACGCGGCTTCATCCACCTGACCGCTCGAAACCACACTGACTTTCGGGTCTACAAGGTCATACAGGTTATAGGCCTTACTACAATCCAAGTTTATACACCATACTAGAACCATGGTTCTATGCAGGTTATAGGCCTTACTATAGTGTATGCAAGCTAACCAAACGGCACCACACAAGCACGCGATAACTCTTTTATCCGAGCAATGTGTTGGTGCCAGGGACTCATCTTCCCCTGTCAGATGTCAAAGGCTGGGTGGGCCCCATGGGCCACCCAACTCACAATCTCAAAAACTGAAGAACGGGTGTGCAGACTGATAGCGCCCGCCCCTAAGCCGGGGCCCGGGGCACCCAGGCCATAGGGGGGTCTGCCACCAGGGGAAGTGAGTCACCCACCGGCTCCGGTCACGGGAGCATGGGTGGGCCCACGCTAAGATCAAATGCATCTCCATTCAGGAGACGCGGGAGAAAAACGAACTCCTCGCAGAGTTCCTGTTTGGGGACCCTGTGCAAAGGGTCGAACCCAGAGAAATCTGGGTGCGTCAGTTCATCAGCCCATTGGTTGAATTCCCGGGGCACGTGGTTGGCCGCCAGCGAGCAGCCATGGGTGTGGAGCAGGAAGACCAGCTCCATCAGGATCGCCGCGGTGTAGGGCTTCTTGGATCCAAGGTTGAGCATCGCCATGACGTTGCCCTGATTGTCACTGCCCACCGGGAGTCGGACCCGGGAGGACAGAGGGCCTTGGTGCGTGAGGATCATGTTACAGAGGAAGAGCGTGCCCAGCATTTCCAAAGCCGCAATCCTCCGCTTGGGATCCCCATTCTTGAATGCCCAAGGGTACTCCTCCACGTGGATCTGCTCGTGGAACCAGTACACCTCCTTCTTTTCCGGTTCCACTTTGTTGGAGCACCAACCTCCCACAAATGCCAGTCCTTCGTCCGAGGCGCTAGCATCGCTGCAACCCCACCAAGAGGACTTCGGCAAGTAAGGGGAGTACTGGACGAAGGGCGTGTTGAAGAGGAACCGCAGCATGAACGCCAGCATCCTGACCACCTTGGGGGTTTTCCCCACCGTGGTGGTGGCCATCTTCCAGGCCCAAAGTGGCTGGAGCATAGACTTCGCCAGCGGACATGCAGCAGTCGCCCATTGGATGCGGCCCAGGGCCTTCTCGATGTCCTTTGAGTGCATCGCCTGCCCTTCCACCATGGTCTGCAAAACCTCCATCACCAGGATGTGTTTGTTGGCGGCCATGAGAACCTGCGGGATGTTCGGGTGGACCACGAAGCCCAGCCACGTGTTAACCTCCGCCAAATGTGTCTTCTTCCAGCTAAGCGGGGTGCCCAAGGCCAGGAGTGTTGCCAACAGCGCCACCGCCAAGTTTACTGCCCCCTCGCTTCGAAGCAGCCACAGGAAGTCATCCACAAAGACGAAGTTCCAATCCACTTGAGGGAAAAGTGCGTAGAGGACCCTGAGTAGAAGTGCTGCCAGGCGTCCCCAGTAGGATTGGGCACTGGCCATGCTATATGTGCCTACCTTGTTCACCCACCATTCTTCCCCCAGTGAAGCCACCTGAGGACCTTCACTCTCCGGTGGGCCTTGGTGACGTCCGCCTTGAGCAGCACCCACCTGGTGCCCGGCTCCGGCCATAGCCAGCCCCCAGGTGGAGGTTTGACGACCTCCCTCTCGGAGCCAGGGGCACCCTGAGAGGGAGGTCCCTCCGCAGCTGCCGCATGTAGCCAATGAAGAGCTTGTACCCCATCCAGCACCGTCGGAGCCGTTGTCCTTTCCACCGTCTGGTTCCTGATGGTGTCATTGGCCCCGCCCACCGAGCCATCGTAGATGGTGCGGATCTTGTCCCCTTCGTCGATGCCCGCTAGGGGGCCGGGACAAAGGTCCTCAATCTCGCATCCACAGCGCGATGCTGCCTCCACCTTAGTAGTGAAGGGGCCCTCTACCATGCCCATGAGACCTTTTCCAGGAATGTGCCACGGATGAGCTCACTGAAGTGATCCGCCGAAGGGTAGTTACCCCGGCCCGTGGGATGAGGGAGTTCCTGGAACTCCGGCTCCTCCCCTTTTAGCTCCTTCTTGAGTGGCCAGATGCCCGGCGAGGCCAGGGGTGGGTCCGTGACCCCCAGTGGGACCCCTTGTTCCAGATCCCGAGGAAACTGTGGTCGGGGTCCTGAATGTTCAGCGCCACGCTGTGCAAGATGTCCAGGAAGAAGGGTTGGCCTTCAGCTGGTCGGCCCGCCCCAGGCGCCAGGATCTCCCGGATATCCTCCAGCAGGTCCTCCGGGAAGGGATGTGACCCGTCCCCCAACGAGAGCGACTCCTGGAGCTTGTCCCCCCATGGCGAAGTGAGGACACAGATCTTGGCCCCCATCACTGCTGCTTTGGACAGTGGCCACGTCCACGGGGCCAGCCGTCCCAGTGAGGGCTTCCCACCCCCATCTCTTAGGGGGCGCTGTTTGAAGGCCATCTGGAGGTACATAACCTTGTCGGAGAGATTTGGGTCGTGCGTGATCGGCAGGGTGGTGGGCCGATCCGAGATCTCCATGCAATGGCGTGCCCATGGCTCAGGGGAAAGAGTTCCACCCCGAAGTTCGACCATCCCCCCAGCCGGCTGTGTTGGTGTCCGGGCCTCCGGATTGTCTGATGCCGAGACCGGAAGTGAGCCCAAGGTTAGTCCCGCCAACGCTTGTTGGCCGGCCACCAGCCTCCGGGACTGGCGCTTGTTGTCCCCCGGCGTGCTGGGAGAAGGTTCCCTCTGTCGCCTCGGGGGGGTCGTTGGGTTCGCCTGGGGCCCCGGCCTCAGCGCCTCCAGGACGGGTCCCGCTCTGCAAAGGATGGCCGCTGCGAGACCCTGCATCATCTGCTCTGGATACCGGCTGAGGTCACTGGAGTTGAGCTTTTCCCCCCTGGGGTGAGCTCCGTGGTTGCATCGCAGATCATGCCAATGGTGAAGGGGAAGGTCCGTTGACAATGTCGTGGACTTCACTACCACCTGGCCCAGGCGGCACTCGTCAAACTTGATGAGGGAGTGGTGGAGTGCGTTCGCCCATTGAATGTAGGCCCGTGTGACCCAGATCGATGAGCACCTCGCTGCACTCGGGCTCTTGCTGCACTCCATTGGGTCCATTGGGTGCTCCAAGAAGGAGGAGCCCACCTGCGGGACCGTTAGTTGACCTAGCCCCTGGTAGGCCAGCGAGGTCAGGTACATCTGTCGGAGCATGAGCACGCTGTCGTTGTCCGTGTCCTCCATTACCCGGGGCTCCAGGTCCTCTAAGCTTTACAGGGTCTGCTCCGCCCTGCCCCTCACCGGCGGCGGGCCACCCGGTTTGGGGAACCACCTGAGAATGCTCCACGTCCTGCAGTTGGGGCCGCCCCCCACAAAGGCGACCTTGCCCGCCATGGCCATGGAGCACATCGTAGAGTACGGCTCCTCTCCCAGAAGATCTCCACTCTTTCGCCTGATGTCCACTGCCCAAATGTACTCCGAGAAGGCCGGGTTGTAGGCATGGAGGTAAGCATCCAGGGCCCCCGCATCATCCTTCCCAGCGTACAGCAGGATGAGGGACGGCTTTGCCGACTCCGGCACCGGACGTGGCGTCCACCTCAGTCTGCGCCTCAGTCTTTCCGGGGTATCCTGCATCCATGGGAAAGTGGGGCTTGCCCCCCCTAGGGATTCCGTGCGTCCTTTGTCTGACCTTCCGGTCATCTGTCCCTGGGCTTGCTGCTTGCCCTGGCGGTTCTGCCCGCCCTTGGAACGCCCCTTGCCGGGCGGATCCTCACCTCTGGGTCTCTCTGGGGGTTCTTCCCACTGCCTACTTCCGCCCTTCTGGAGTGCCCTGGCTGGGTCCGCTCCTCTTCTTCGGTGGAGGGCTTCCGGGGCCGGTGGCACCCTGGAGAAATCCCCTCCCACCTGAGGCCGTCCTGGCCTCCCCCGCTCTGTCTGCCTTCCGCTGTGGCTCTGGTGGGGTTGGCTCTCCCCCGCTGTGTGCACTCTCGCACTGGTGGCCTGCGATCCCAACGGAGACCAGGAAGCCACGGGGCCTATGGCACCCTGAGTGGCCTCCTGTCACTTGGGAAGGTGTGGGCATGCCTGTGGCACATGCTTCGATGGGGGGGCATCACACACCCACCCATCCTTCCTGACCGGGCAGTTGTGGGATCGGCCGCATGATCCCGAACACTTGTTGTGAAGGTGATGATCTCTGCAGTACGCCACCCCTTTGGGATTCTTGAAAGCCCAGTGGTCCGGCCATGGGGTCGAGGGGGTGTTGGGGGACTTCCCCTTGCCGCCTTTGCCCTTCGGCTTGGACCGGGTCGGCCCCGAGGGCCAGGATCCTTTTCCCCCCTTCTTGGGCTTCTCCCACTGAGTCTGCCACACCTTGGGTGCCTTGCTCTTGCTCTTCCCCTTCTCCGGCGCCCTGTTGAGGTGCTCATAGACCTCCCGTTGCCAGAAGAGGAAGTCGCCCCTGATGTTCTTGAGGGCTTCGGAGAGAGTGGTGCCCTGGTGCACCATCTCGTGAATCTTGCGCCATGCATTGCGCTCTGCGAACAGCAAGGTGGTGTCGCTCGGGGGAGGCTTCCTGCCGGCTATGTCTTCCCCATAGAACCAGGCATACCAATCATCCAGCTCCTCCTTGGTGACCCTCAGGTTGCCAAACTGTGGCAGTGCTGCCGTGCACATCAGGAGCGTCGTCCTGAAGGTTAGGTGCAATCGTTCCAGCTGGCGCCGAGATGTAGGGTGGCTCCTCACCTCTTCTTCATCCTCCCTGTCCCAGCCGTCCACCGTGATCTTCTTGTGGGTGGATGAGGGGCGTTCCCCTTCTTCCGGGAGCGCGCTCACGATGTGTTTTGCCGGGATGTAGCCCAGCTCGCCCTTGGCAATCATGCGCCATTGCTTCTTGAGGTAGCCATCACTACCTTGGAACTCCAACCTCGGCTTCGGGGTCCCATGCGTGGCCACGTAAGCATCTTCCAGCTGGCGCCTGTCACACAGGACCTCCAAGGGAGCC